AAGGGTACTAGACCAAGCAGAGAGGAAGGAGGAGAGGGAGAGACTAAGCCGAAGAGGAGGAGAGCAACGCCGAGAGGAGACAAGAAAAAACAGAGAATGGAGAAGAGCCTGGAGGGAGAGGATGAGAGATGCGTGTGGGGACGAGGGGGAAGGGAGAACAAGCGAAGGAGGCCTGAGGAGCGGGAAAAACAGAGAGAAATCCGGAAGATGGGAGAAAAATCCGAAGATGGGAGAGAAATCCGAAGATGGGGAGAGAGGGCCACCAGCAAACGAATGAAAGGGAACCCTCCAGATCGAATTCGAAGGGAGTGAAAGGCGGGGCGAACTGGGGAGAGAAGGGAGAAGGGGAGCGGAATGGTCCAGGTAACAGAGGTAAAAGTGATGGTGCACGGAAATGGCAGAAAAGATTTGCTCCTTGTTAGAGAAAGAGTAAAAAACTGAGGATGAGAAAATTTTGGGGATGAAATCGCATGGGAACGATGGGAGTGGTGGCGAGAAGGAAGAGTAATGTGGGGGCGGATATGGCAAAAATGGGGTGGCGCAGAAAAGGGGAGCGAGCAAGGAAGTCGAAAGGTCAAGGAACGGGAGGGAGCAAGGAAGAGGGCGGGAATAAGGAAGAGGAAAGGTTGACAGACCTGTGGAGGAGCGAGGAGAGGCACACATAGAGCGACTGCATGGCAAAAACAGGATACAGGGGCATGTCGGGGCATACAGTGGCATACAGTGGCATACAGGCACATACAGACGCATACAAAGAGCGAGAGGTGGGGGACCACAGGGTCAGGAGTGACAGATACAAAAGAGGATGTTAAGAATGGAAGTGATTCTTGAGTCGACTAAAAACTCGGCCGCACGGAGAAAGACAGGAGATGAGAGGTGGGGGGGTGACACATGATCAGGAGTAAGAGGATACAACAAGAACACATGCTGCATGACAGGGTCGCACATAAAATGCATGCAAAAGGGGAGGAGCGTGAGGATGATGTCGAAGACGAGAAGCTGGAGGAAGCAGCCCCAGGGCGAGACGAGGCGACATGAGGACAAGACCAGAAGGGAGCGTGAGGATGAGGGGCGACATGAGGACGACAAGACAAGAAGGGGTGGTTTTGAGTCGACTCGAAGGGGCAACAGCTGCTGGAGACTTGAAGGGGCAACAACAGCTGCTGGAGACTTGAAGGGGCAACAACAGCTGCTGGAGACTTGAAGGGGCAACAACAGCTGCTGGAGACTTGAAGGGGCAACAACAGCTGCAGGAGGAGAGTGCTGCAGAAGAAAGTGATCCCTCCTCACCTCGAGCGCCGCAACGCAGAAGAGCGTGAGGATGATGTAGAAGACGAGGGGCGACATGAGGAAGAAGAGCAGCAGCAGCATGACAGACGACATCACCACACGAAACCCACTGCTGACCCCCACTGACATGTCATACGCTCCCGAGGAGTCGCCTTTGTGGCTGGAGTATTGGGGAGGAGAGAGGGATATAAATGAGATGGACATGAGCAGGGGTTGCAGCAGCAGTGCTTTGTGACGTGTATTGAGACGTGTTTTGAGACGTCTCAAACACTTCTTCAATCACGGAGGAGAGAGGGGATATAAATGAGGTGACATGAGCAGGGGTTGCAGCAGCATCACAAGACAGCATCACCACGAACCCCACCGCTGACCCCGCTGACATGTCGTAACTTTTGAGTCGACTCAAAAGTCTCCTACTGACATATCGTAACTTTTGAGTCGACTCAAAAGTCTCCTACTGACATATCGTAATGCTCCCGAGGGGCCGCCCTGGGGCTGGTAGGGACAGTGGGAGTGGGGAAGAGGAGACATGGAATACGGGAGACAGGGGGCGCAGGCCGCAGCTGACCCCACCGACATGTTGCACGCTGGCTGGTGCCTGCCTATGGCACGGGTCAGCAAGAGCAGACCAGGAGATCACGAGGAGATTAGCTGGAGGGAGTTAAGGTACGACAAAGCGAGGTTTGGCGAGAACAATAAACATCCCTGCGTTCGCGGGCTGCGCCCTTCGACTGCTCTGCTAGCTGGCTCACTCACTCACTCACACATCCTCGCATGAAAGCAAACCCCATCACCATCATCACCCGCCCCAACCTTGTCCCCACGTTTCAACACCCAATCACTGCACCTCTTCTACTCCCCCACCACATCCTCCTTCCCTCCCCCATCTTCCCCCGTTCCCCCCCCCCCCCACTCCCCCCCGTACCTGGTCCGCCAGGGACTGCCCCGCGCCACTCTTCCTTCCAGCGCGGCCTTCTCCTCCGCGGCAGCCCACGCGGACGCGCCCACGAGCGACAGCAGCGCCAGCGCCCACAGCACCAGCTCTGCCAGGTCCAGCAGTGACCGCGGAGGCGCGTACAGGGACACAGTGACTGGCGCGGCGGAGGCGGAGGCGGAGGGGGAGGCGGAGGCGTTGGAGAGGGCATGAAGGAGGAATTGGCCTGACGAGTTGGAGACCATGACCACCGGTATAGTCACAACGCCTTCAGTCAAGTCTGTTGCGTTGCAACCCATGCCAATGATACCTGCCGCGGGGAAACCCACGTACAAGTATTGAGCCGTCACAAAGGAGGCCTTAGCTGAAACTTACCTAACTCTATGCATTGACACATATGCTGAAACACACCCAATCACTATCACAAATACATGACCCCAAAGCGTTAAAAACACGATCAAATCACATGTACAAAACGTACATCAAGTCCCATTCACATTCAAATCGCCTGCAGGCCATACCTTGTTTGTTGTTGACCATGATAGCAGCAGCAGCTCGCAGCCGCTGCACGCGGAGGGCCTTCGAGGCTAAGCTGCACTCGCCTTTTGAGGCGCCTCAAAAACGAAAAAAACACATCAAGTCCCATTCACATTCACACCACCTGGGTTACCTTCTTCACTGTTGATGACGATGGCAGCAGCTGCTCCCAGCCGCTGCACGCGGAGGGCCTTCGAGGCGAAGCTGCAGTCGCCTCGCTGCACTAACACTGCCTGGCCCTGAAACTAGCATTGGGGAGATGGGTGAAGGTGGGCGGAGGATACGGAAAGAAGTGAAAGACAGGAGGCATGAAGACGTGAAGAAGCGGAACATGGAGTGAGGTTGAAAAAAAAGCCAAGGATAGAAGCATCTGCGCGACAAATTTGACTTCAGGAGCATGGTGACTAACGAGGGCGAGGAAAAAAGACGGGGCTCTGAGCGCACGTACTGAAGGGAGAGGAGGCAGGGGGGTCGGAACAAGCAAGCAGGGGCTGCATCTGCGCAAGGGAGAAGGAGAGCGCGTCAGCCTTGGTCTTCGGAAGCCCCGCGCCGAAGCTGGCTTCGAGAGCGAGGATTTGACGGTCATTGCTGCCGCTGATGGTGGCGTTGCCTCCCACGTGCACGGAAAGCTTGACCTGAGGTGGGGGGATGGTGAAACGAGATGATTTTTGAGTTGAATCAAACCCGAATCTCGAGGTCACTGCCGCCGCTGATCGTGGCGTTGACTTTCACGTGCACGACAAGCTTGACCTGAGGTGAGGAGGAGGTGGGATGTGAGTTTTCAGTCGACTCTAGAGTCGTATTGGCTGATTATTCAAGCTAAGTTGAGGGGATGGTGGGATTGTGAAAGGATTGTGAGGAAACTCGGAGATTGTATCAGAGATGACAATGATGAGGCAAGGAAGGGATCGCCGTACCATTTCCACGCTGTTATCGCATCCTTGTCGCGGAGACTGTGCGCTTACGGACGGCGGACACAAAATCAGGACGAGCGAGAACAGCGATAGTAACAGAAGCCGTTAGTGACGCTACACCCGGAGTGTGCTGTACAGGCAAGCATGATCGGCGAGTACTCGGCGCTCGGGTCAACCATCGACGGTCCATCTCAGACAGTACGACGATACGGTTTGCTAATTAAAGAATAACGTATGCGTTGGATTCGTGATGCTTCGGGCGGGACGAACTGGCGTCAGAATCTGCTACTTTAGAGACGTCCCTAACCTCGTGGGAGTCTGCTAATAAACTCTCGACAAGCTAAGCTTATCCTCGCTAAGATCACGCATCAACTTCTTAACGAGTAAAAAAAACCACGGATTCCTGACCAAGGACCAACTCGGTCCTCTCCCGACGACGGCACGGAGGGGAATCTCGGAACTGTCAGCCGTGAGGGAGACCTATGGCTGACAGATAAGACAATGAGGATCAACTATTGAACTCGTCGACACGAGAGTTCCGTTGAAAGGTCGGGCAAATTCAAGGCTGGATTGGCTCTACTGCAGGATACCACTCTCTAACGTGTACAAACGTACTACACCGTACTCGACGACCGAACAATGACATTGAAGGGTTACTTCCGAAGCTTTGAAGCTGGTTTGACGTGGACCTGTGGTCTTCTGACACTACGACCACGTCGTCAGTTTCGAGGGCTTTCCCGCGCATTTGTTGTCTGAAAAAACTGCAAATTCTGTAAGGATTTACAAATCCTTACTGAGGCACTCGTTAGCGAGGCCATCCCGAGGGTCACGCGACGAACCTGTCTTGCCTATTTCGTCGCACCGAACCACCCCCGACCGGCCTCCGCCCCAATCGCAACCATCACCGAGCCATCACATCCCGAACCCCCCGCCTAGCTAGCTTTTCCTCTATTTCGGCCTCCTTCATTGTTTCTTCATTCAGTAATTCAGTAATTTCCATTTTCGTTATTCGTTTTACTGCGCACTCTGCAAGTTGATTCATAACAAATTCTATACATTCAAGCGTGTTACGAGTGCAATTGAATGAACGAACGGGAATTGCACTATCGAAGCAAGAGTACAATGAGCGAAGGCATGAGCGAAAAATATATAGCGAAACTACAGTGGTAACGGTAATGGACTGTGGTTGTCGCGCGACGGGCCTGGGACTGAGGTTGGGAATTAGTGTCGAAGCGGAGGCCTGGAGCGCGGCTTACCCGCCGAGCCGTGAGGTTGGGGTGCGACGTGCGAAGGTGGCGGGCGGATTGTCGACGCGAGGATTGTGAGTGGTAACGGTGCTGACTGTGGTGCTACAGCGATGTACGCGTTGAGCAGGGATGCGAAGTAAGGAAAGGGATTTTCCTTACTAAGCGTCATAAAAGTCATGATATTTTTAGGATGTCTTACAAGGTGACCACCTTACGCAAATTTTATCATTTACACTCAGCCCCACTAACTGCTCTCGTCTCCCTGCCTACGAAAGTGTGCCTCCTCATGCTCATACTCGTCGTCCTCATCACCCCCATCCATTTCCTCCATCTCATCATTCTCCTCCGCTTGCTCCGCATTCTCGCACAGCCTCGCATACTCCCTGTAGATCTTTCGGCTCTTGAGCCACGTCATAATCGTCATGACTGCAAGGCCGACAATTGCCAGCCCTCCAAGCGCAAAAATGGCAATGTATTTGGGGCTCAAGGTGCTTGAAGCGATGTATTTCACCTCCATGTCACAAATCCCCGCCAGTGTCCCTTCCGGAAGCTTCTCCGCTCCAGAAAGGTCCTCGTTACAAGTCTTCGGGAGCTTCCAGATGTATGTTACGTTGTGCACACCGTTGGCGTCGGTGCAAGAGTCCTCAAATCTCTGGTAGTCGTCCTTGGTGCAGGGAAGGCAGTACTCATCAGGAGGTAAGGGCACCTGGGGATTTGGCTGGCAAAGCTGCCAGTTTGGAGGGTTAGAGGAAACAGGTACTCAGGAGAATTGAGCAAGCATACATCACCAACATGAAGAGCCAAGCCTGCGCCTTAACTCAAACACAAATTCAGGACAACATCTCCACAATAACCAAACCGAACACTTCTCCTTTCAGCCCTCCGCACCCAGCTACACCCAACCACAATCCACCCTTGGCTTGAATCACAGAAAACAGCCGTCTCTTGGTTATCTCCCCACTTCACCTGCCCCTGCCCCTGGAAACCCAATGAGTGGAGTACTCGTAAATGTAAATGTAGGTCAAGCAGCATACCCTTGGGGTCTTGTATTTGTAGATGAAGCGCTTGTTGTCGATACAAATGGCAACGGCCACGGGCTCCATGTCAAGCACGGTGCACAGCGGGCAGGCATACGCCGTGTACCACACCATCTGGAACAGACACGATACAGGCGCCCGCAAACCCCTTCAAACCCCGTCCGAGCCGCCTGCCGTTTCCACCCTCATCCAACTCCACCCAACCCAACCAGATCCCACTTTACCTGCCCCTAGGAACACAGAGAGCAACGCACCCTTGGCGTCTTGTATTTGTAGGTGAAGCGCTTGTTGTCGATGCAGTTGGCAACGGCAACAGGATCCATATCCAGCACAGTGCACAGCGGGCACGCATACGCCGTGTACCACACCATCTGGAACAGGCATGAGACAGGCGCCTCGCGCCCCACGGGGATGACATCGCCCGACCGATTGGCCCATGCCGGGTAGGAGAGGGTCGGGTTCAGAGCTGCCTTCTTGCCCCCCTCCGTCCATGGCTCTGGGTGGCCGTAGCCTGGGGGGAACGGAGAGAGAAAGAGAGCGTGGAGAGAGGAGAGAGGTGAGGAAGAAGTGGGGAGGGGTGTGCCGGGTACCACACCACCTGGAAGAGGCAGGAGCCAGGCGCCTCCTGCTCTATCGATTGCCCCACCAGCCTTATGGTCGTACCAGCCCTGGGGTCACAGATGAGGTTGGGGTTGAAGGTGCTGGGGGCATCAAACATTGGGCAGCTCTCCCCGTTAAACGACATCACCAGCCCTCGCCACCAGCCTCAGAATCTCACCACCAGCCTTATGTCTTACCTGCCTCGGGGTCACAAATGAAGGTGCTGCGGGCATCGGACATTGGGCAGCTCTCCCCGTTGAATGACAGCACCAGCCCTCGCCGCTCTTTTGAACTCAAAGCAATACTGCTCTTATGACTTCAACTAGACGCCTCACTCACCAGCCTCGGGGTCACAGATGAAGGTGAGATTGAAGGTGCTGGGGGCGTCGGACATCTGGTGAAGGCTGTACAATCAAGGTGCTGAGTTACATGTACATTCAGGTGCTTGTGCAACAGTCTAAACTCAAAGCCTCACCAGCCTCGGGGTCACAGATGAAGGTGAGGTTGAAGGTGCTGGGGGCGTCGGACATCGGGCAGCTCTCTCCGTGGAACGACATCACCAGCCCTCGCCGCTGCAGCTGCGGCTCGGAGAAGCTCCCCAAAGGGGCCAGTGACACGGTGTCCCCCAGGCTGTGGGCCGATGTGGCTGTGCTGTGCTCATTCAGATTCGGGTTGATCTGATGGGGAGCGGGAGGGGAGGCGGGGGTTAGGGAGGGAGGAGAAAGGATGTGAAGGGAAGTGGACAGGATGTGGCTGTGCTCTGCTCATTCAGACTAGGAGGGGGGGCGGGGAGGGAGAAAACGGGGTGATGGAGGGGAGACGAGGAGAACGAAGGTGAGAGGGAAGGAAATGATACTTAAGTGTAATCAAAATCAGCAGTCAAAAGCAAACAAACATGCAAGAGTCAAGGCGAGGAGCGTCTGGATATCGATAGGGCGGTTTGGCTTGGAACCAGGGCACTCACCCGGCACACATAAGTGTTGTTGAGAGGCTTCCCACTGTACATGATACACGGATACGTCGTGTTGGAACAAGTCACGTTTGCGCGCCTGCTCACCACCTTGCCACCAACAAACGCTTGAGACGCCTCAAGAAGCACTCACCCGGCACACATAAGTGTTGTTGAGGGGCTTCCCAGTGTACATGATGCACGGGTACTTCGTGTTCGCTCTCTCTCCCTTGCCGCCCCTGCCCCCCTTCCCACCACCACTATCACCACTCCACACACCACCACCCCCAGCCGCACCACCCCCAACACCAGCACCCCCAGCAGCAGCAGAGGAAGCGACAGGGCGATACACAGCGTTATCACTGTTGCTGCGAGCACACACCGACACATAGTACTTAGGACCCTTCTGCAGGTCTACAAAGGATGGGCCTTCGTATATGGGCCCCACGAGGCGGCCCAGGTTCTGGTGCGCGAGGGGGGAGAGGTCGTAAAGGAGCGTGTCTGTACTGTTGAAGGAGCGGACGATGAAGGTGCAGAAGGAGGAGGGCGAGGTGATGTCCCCTATGGCGCACTCCGCACTGCCCTCCAGAGAGGATGTGCCCAGGCCGCACGGCTGGCAAGCAGTGCGGTTGCCCTGAGATGGTGGCAGGGGAAGGTAGAGCAAAGGGCGAGATGCAAAAAAGGTTGACTGAGAGGGAGGTGAGAGGTCGTAGAGGAGCGTGTTGGTGGAGTTGAAGGAGCGAACAATGAAGGTGCAGAAAGAGGAGGGCGACGTGACGTCCCCTATGCGAAAGATGTTCCCAGGCCGCACGGCTGGCAGGCTGTGCGGTTGCCCTGAAATGTTTGCAGGTGACGAGGACAGGGTGGGAATGGGGAAGGGGAGAGAAGAGGCAGGGTGAGAGACTCCATTGGAGCACTGGGGTTGGGAGAAGGGATGTGACGTCCGCAATGCTGCACTCCGCACTGCCTTCCAGCGAAGATGTCCCTGGTGAACAACACGGCTGGCAGGCAGAGCGGTTGCCCTGAGACAATAGGGGAGAACGGGGGAAGGAGGGACTGGCTAGCGCCATCATGGTGCACTCAATACGGATGAAAAAAAGGGGGAATCTGAGAACACAACTGCACTCACTGCTCGCTTCAGGTTGAAGGTGTTGGCAGTGAGGGCGAAGGGCACTTCTCACCCAGCCCTTCCCCGCCCTCACTGTAAAACCCAGCAGCAGCGCATTCCTCCCACCAATCCTCACTCTGCCCTTTGCTTAAGGAGCCAAAGAGTAAAACTAACCGCAGGTTTCGGGTTGAAGGTGTTGGCAGGGCACTTCTGGCACAGCCCTTCCCCGCCCTCACTGTAATACCCAGCAGGACACTCCTCCCACGCGTCCCCGCTCTGCCCCTTCTGCGCGCCTGCAGGGATGCGCACACACCCGGGCGCGCCCCCTGTGCCGCCCCCCACACGCGCACGCTGTGCAGGATGGCAGAGGAGCGATCGACGGAGGTGCGATCGGCGTTGAGGGTGACCCACACCCACATGATGCGGTGGCTGCCTGCTGCCAGCGGCCAATGCTGGCTGCTGCTGCGACCCACTGGCACGCTCACGCCCATGCTGCCCCCGTCCTGAGGGAAGGTGGGAGGGGAAGATGGAGAGAGGAGTGGGTGAGAGAAAAAGGAGACAAGAGCAGAGAGGTTTGCGATCAGGTTGTCATTCATGTAAGAGAAAAGGTAAAGTTGCGATAACCTTCTCAGAAATCCCACCAACCTCACCTTCTCAGCACATGCTCATTGTCCCGCAACACATGCCCACCATACCTCGGTATTCTCCAGCAGATTATCGTCCACATGGAAGAGGCCGCGCTGCAGGTCACCTTATCGTTGACATCACCCACCTGAATACCACACAGCACTGCTCAACATCGCCTGACGCTCACTACCTCACAGCACCGCATATCACACCTCGATGTTCTCGAGCAGGTTGTCGTCCACGTAGAAGAAGAGTCCGCGCTGCAGGTCGCCAGGAGGGATGTCCACGTCAAAGTCGTATGTGATGTAGCCAGGGATGGTGAGATTCACTGTGAGTGCCAGCCACACCTGCGGGGAGACGGGAGAAGGTGGTAGGCAATACAAGGAGTAGATGATGAGAATGCTTGGCAAGTGTGGTTGGACTCATGAACAACAGGTACCCAGGAGGGATGTCGACGTCAAAGTCGTATGTGATGTAGCCGGGGATGGTGAGATTCACTGTGAGCGGGCCAGCCACACCTGCAGGGAGGGGGAAACAAGGGAGATGAGAATCAGGAGGTGGTATGGTTTGGCACATGGACAAGCAAAGTCATATGTCATGTAGCCGGGGATGGTGAGATTCACAGCCAATGCTAGCCACACCTGCAGAGACAAGGGAGAGTGGTGGGGAGGGGTGAGCTTGGGTGGCACATAGACAAGCAAAGTCGTATGTGATGTAGCCGGGGATGGTGAGATTCACCGTGAGTGCCAGCCACACCTGCAGGGAGAGGAGAGAGGGAAGGAGGATGGAGAGAATGGGAACGCGCCATGTTATGGCGCATGGTCACACGATATGGTGCATGGTCACACGATATGGCGCATGGTCACACGATATGGTGCATGGTCACACGATATGGCGCATGGTCACACGATATGGTGCATGGTCACACGATATGGTGCATGGTCACACGATATGGTGCATGGTCACACGATATGGTGCATGGTCACACGATATGTGATGTAGCTGGGGATAGAGCGAGGGGGAGGGAAGACACGGTTGAGAGGACGATGAAACAAAGTAGGTGATACTGTCGGACCAAATTCACCTCTCGCGAACCAAATTCACTCAACCAACAAACACACTTACAGAAACAGCTTTGCCGTTATTTGCCCCCACCACCCAAGATCAAGTGCACTTAACTAACAAACACACTTACAGAGGCAGTCTTGCCGTTATTCGCCCCCGAGTCCAGATAATCCCCCACCACTCGCCACCCGCCTGACCCACACTCCCCACTGCATCCAGTCTGGAAGCCGCTGGGAAGCTTCCCCTCTTCCACGGTGCGGAAGTGCTCCAGCAAGAGCATCCTCACTGCTGCCTCGCCAGGCTGGCACGGGTGGCAAGTTTCGTCCGATGTGGTTGAGGGGGCTGCAGAGGGAGGGGCAGCCGCGCCTGGAGGGGGGAGTGGTTGTACTGTTGGTGCTTCTGAGACGTTCCGCGCTGTGCCCTGAAAAAGGGAGGGAAGGGGGATGGAAAAAGGAAGAGGAAGGGAGGAAGGAACATGGGAATGGCAGGGAGGAGAGCAATGTGAGGGGAGGAACGAGTGTTGCAGATTGAGGAAGACAATGGGAGGTGGGTGGGGGTTAGGGCGGTTAGCCAGAGAAGCATCATACAGGGTGGCTGCAAGAGTTTCAAACGAAGCAGGGATTGGCTAGAGGCAGATGGCAGAGAGAATGAGTGAAGGCAGAGAGTGAAGGCACAGAGTGGCTGGGCAGACGGCCAAGAGAGTGGGTGGGGCGAGGGCGTACAGTGGGGCAGAAGGTGCAGGTGAGAGTGTCAGTGGCAGAATCCACAACTGCGTACTGCCCTGACGGGCAGGGTTCTACACACACGGGGCCAGAGGGAGGGAAGAGAGATATGTGCCAGGGAAGCGGCAATAGGGAGAAAGAGTCGACTTTTGAGTCGACTCAAACGTCAGCTCTGCACACACGGGGCCAGAGGGAGGGAGGAGAGATATGTGCCAACCTGGCAAGGAAGGGGTGACAGGGAGAAAGAGAAACGCATGGAGGTGATTTCTGAGGTGCCTCAACGATGGTCTCATCTCACAGAAAGGGAGAGAGGCATGTGCTGAGAAATGAGTGGTAGAGACAGAGAGATGCATGGAGGCAGTGGCACGCCCTGCGTCAGCGCCAATACCACTGATCCATGCACTACAGAGACGTGCAGAGCCGGGCTGTAGCCAAGACTCAGTGGAGAGGCAGTGGTGTGAGAAGAGAGGCGGTTACCGCATGGCTCGGTGGTGTTGGGAGGGAGGCCATGGGCGGGGTCGGGCTGGCAGACTTGAGGGGAGAGCCACGACCACACCCTGGTGCGCGTGCGCGAGGAGGCAACGCAGGGGGTGAAGGTGGGCGTGGCGTCTACTGTCACGTTGCACACTGGAAGGGGGGGAACGGGTGAATGATATGGAGAGTGAATGACACTGATACGCCTTGGTGAGATCCACGACGACCGCACTCACGTGCGCGTGCGTGACGAGGCAGCCAAGGGGTTGAAGGTGGGGGGGTTCAAGTATTCAGGTGTTGCACAGGGATGAAATCATGGAAATAGTCACAAAGCTCTGGGTGTACTGGGTGTGGGGCATGGTGAGGGTGGGGTGCACTCACGAGGGCGTGGGGTGCACTCACGAGGGCGTGGGGTGCATTGGGTGCGGGGTGTGGCGAGGGCGAACGTGGTGCTGTTGCACGCCTCGCACTGGCCTGACCCCTCCCTGGTTGAAGGTGGCAGGGGAAAAGGACATGTGCGCGAGAGGGGAATGGGGGAAAGGGAAAAGAGGCGTGGGGAGACAGGAAGGTTTTTGGAAATGTGTGGAGAGCGTGTGCGAGCACGGTGCGCAAATTGCAGCAAGGCATTAAGAAGCAAGGGAGAAAGGCATAAGAAGCAAGGGAGCGAGACAATAGAGTAGGGGGTGAGGGAGTCATAAGCAGCAGTGGGACGGCTGTGGAAAGGGAAGTTGTAAACATGGTGGGCATAAGGGCCGTTCCTTTTGTAAAGACACACACCACGTGGTGTGTGCGATTAGGAGGGAAGGAGGAGAAAGAAGAGAACTAAGAGAGATAGGAGATAGGGACGAGGGGAGAGAGAGGAAAAAGAGGAGAGTGAACAGAGAGGAGAGAGGGGAGAGAGGAGACAGAGAGGGGACAGGGGGGGAAGAGAGGAGAAAGGATCGAGGAGAAAAGGAGAAGATGGGAGAGGGAGGGAGGTGAGCGTACGCTGAGATGTGGTCGGGAGGGCATGCTGTGCAGTTGGTGGCTTGCTCCCCACTGATGAGAGGATGACATCATGAGGAGCATGGGAGCATGTGATGATGAGAGGAGTGTGGTGAGGGGAAGCACAATCCCACACACACAGGTGTGCGTACCCACTCGCAAACACACACTCACTCACCCACCCACACCCCTCTCTTCCCCCCTCCCACACACAAAAAACGCACGCACGCAGAAACACAACCACACGCACACAAAGGCACATGAGGATTGTCCAAGCAGCCGCTCAGGAGAAAAAAACACAGCAACAAGAAGCAGTGTGATTCATGAGGTGAGCACACTGATAATGCAGCAGCAGCAGCGGGACCATGCGCATGCAGCAGCTCAGAAAGCGAGTGGAGTGGAGAAGCAGACAAGACCTGAAGAAGCCGGCAGGGCATTTGAGGCAGGCTGAGTCGGTGAATGCAATGCCGTCCACCTCCAGAAACTGCAGGTTAGATGTGAAAGGGAGGCATGCAGAGATAAAGAGGCAGATGGAAAGAGAGGCACACAGAAAGTGCGTTCACAGTTTAGAAACTTTAAACGCTTCAAATTCAGAAGGTTTAGACATGGTGTAGAAACTAAAAGTGTGGAGGAGGACGGGCAGAAAACATAGAAGCAATTATTTTCAACTCTACAGCAACACATACGACCATGGTGGGTGAGCCAAGGACCAGAGCTGGAGTTGCAAACCCTACACCTGTAGGGCGACAGAGTCCCTGCCCTGCGTGAATGAGGAGCCTTTGACATCAGATTCACATGAGCATGTGTGTGTGCCTCCCTGCTGCCAGTTGTGTTTTGGTCGCCGCAAAAACAAAAGCTGGCTACCAGACCGACAAAAGCCACACACCACCTGTAGGGCGACAGAGTCCCTGCCCTGTATGAATGACGAGTCCTTGACATACGCCCACACGAGCGTGTGCCTGCCTGCCCACAGCGAGTTGTGTTTTTGAGTTGACTCAAAACACGAAATGGTTACCAGACTGGCAAAAGGCACACCTGTAGGGCGGCAGAGTCCCTGCCTTGTGTGAACGACGAGTCCTTGACATACGCCCACACGAGCGTGTGCCTTCCTGCTGCCAGGGGGAAGCGGACCTCCTTAGGATCGAACTGCAAAGGGAGAGGGACCAAGGGAGTTTTAGGGCACGGGAGGGTTGAAAACCGGAAAGTTGAGAAGGGAAGGACGTAACTCTGATAAGGGTGCAGCTTACACACAAGAGTGCTGACAAAGCAGCACCTGGTGCAGCACTCACCTGGTGCAGCACTCACCTGGTGCAACACTCACCTGATGCAACACTCACCTGATGCAACACTCACCTGATGCAACACTCACCTGGTGCAACACTCACCTGGTGCAACACTCACCTGGTGCAACACTCACCTGGTGCAACACTCACCTGGTGCAACACTCACCTGATGCAGCACTCACCTGATGCAGCACTCACCTGATGCAGCACTCACCTGGTTGTAAGCCAGCAGCATGGCGGGGGTGTTAAGGTCGTCGATATAGAACACCAGTCCATCCCGCTGCCGCTCCGAGCTCACTGTGAAGCGGAATGTGACATACCTGGTGGTGGGTGGGGTGTATGGGCGGAGAGGGAGGAGGAAAGGAAGAGAAACAGGGCTGTTGAGTCGACTGGAATTCTCACCGCTCTGAGCTCACTGTGAAGCGGAATGTGACGTACCTGGTCCTGGTGGTGATGGATGGGCAGGGAAGGAGGAGGAAAAGTGGGTGGGGTGAAAGGCGACAAGGACTCAAAGGGCGAGTTTGAAAACTATGCCTTCCCTGTTAAGTGAGAAGGACGGGGAGGGAGTGCAGGAGGAGGGAGTGCAGGAGGATGTGGTCTAAATGTAGTTGAATTTGGCTCACCCGTCCCTGACGAGAGTGAGTGGCAGCTTGAGCGAGGACTGCAGGTTGTTGTGGCACGTCATGTTGGTGAAGTACGCACACTCCTCCTGCTCACACGGCCACAACAACAGAGATGAGTAACGGTTGCAGTGAGAGAGCTTTTTGAGGCGCCCTCAGAAAGCGAGGACTGCAGGTTGCTGTGGCATGTCATGCTGGTGAAGTATGCACACTCCTCCTGTTCACACGGCAATGAAATCGATGGATAGTGACTGCAGTGCATGGATGGTGGCATCAGTTAGTCAGGAAAGATGTTTTCCTGTGGAAAAGGAGTAACTGCACGTGTGTTAATCAGATCACGAATGGAAAAAAAACACATGCAGAAACATCAGCACGTGCAAACGGGCACACGGGCACATGAGCACACTCCAATGTGTCACGGACATGTAGCAGTCAAATGAATGGACTGCTGGGTCACGCAAACACCACCCATTCTCCTGCACTCATCATCACCCAGTAAACAAAATTCACCAGGCAGGCACCAGCGAAATTCCATTATACTCCATTCCACACACAAGCACCGCACCGCACTGCACACCTCGAGCCAGTAGTTGGCAGGGTCGTAGGAGCCCACTTTCAGCTGCCCCTCCTCCGCATACCACCCCTCACAGGGGAACGTGCCCGTGTTGTTGCTGAACGAGCACTCTGTCTGCATGGCAATGGGTGAAACCAGGGGGAGGGCGGCAGGAATTGGCGGCGGAGCGGAGGGAAATGAGAGAAGAAGCAGGGACGCTGGGGCACACATGCTGCCCCTCCTCCGCATACCACCCCTCACACGGGAACGTGCCCGTGTTGTTGCTGAACGAGCACTCTGTCTGCATGGCAATGGGTGAATGATGGAAAGGGTGAGAGGAAGTTGGGCCGGAAGGCAACATTTTGAGTTTGGGAGTTACTTGAAGATAACATGCGCAAAAATGCTGCAGGGGTTGCCTGCAGAACCCCAGCTTGAAGTCAGGCATTCCCTAAAGCACAACACTTCGAGGACCTTAAGTTCAAGCATTATAAAGCACAGCATCCACCTGCAACACAACACCCTGGGTTGTTAACAAAGCATCGTGCTTTATGAATACTGTTTATCAAGCATGGCTCCCACCTGGAAAACCTTGAGGTCGAGGTCCTTGAAGACATCATAAGACCTTTCAAAGACCTTAAGTTCAGGCATTCATAAAGCACAGCACAGAACCCACCTGCAACACAACACCCTGGGTTCAGGTGTTAATCAAGCGCAGCTCCCACCTGGAAGACCTTGGGGTCGAGGTCCTTGAAGGCATCATAACGGAACCCGCCTCCCATGCTATAGTAGCCTGCATGCGATAGACAGCAGAGGATAGAAAGCAGATGCGTAATGATGCCAAAGTGAAGGCAAAAGGCATTTGTACCCTTGAATCTTTGTCACAAAGAAGTTCCTGAATATATCAACAGGGCCGCAGTAAGGGACCTCTCAAATGATTTCAACAGTAAGAGAGTTACGACCAACCCTCTCCCCCATTCCCGCCCCTCCCCTTTCCTCCGTTTCCACAGACACGAGTATACCTTGCGGGCACTTGTGACAGTTGTTGCCTTTGAGAAACATCCCCGGGCCACACCGCGTGTCTGCACACACATGCATTCAGTCAGTCAGAGACGCACACACACAGCAAGGCACACACACATATGCTTGCAGCCATAGGTGAACGCACGGAAACAGCAAGGCACACAAATGGATGGGCACGCATGTGGGAAAACAACGCATCCACACAGGAGTGAAAAAATGTACGTTTAGTGTGTATGCCAGCATTTATGCATGCATGTATGTGTGCAAGCAGGCTTGGGCGCAAGCACGCATGTGTGCAAGCAGGCATGTGTGAAGCAGGCATGGGCGCATGCACGTATGTGTGCAAGCATGCATGTGTGAAAGCATGCCTCACCGCAAGGAATGTAGTCGCTGGGAGGGAGGGCAAGGGAGCCACGAGCAGCAGGGTTGCACTGATTGTCGAAATAGTACACCACCTGATGGTGGGGAGGGGAGGACGATATTATGGGATTCATGAGATGAGCTTTGACGAGCGTGCACACTACATGCTGCAGGGTTGCACTGGTTTGTCAAAGTACTACACCACCTGATGGTGGGGAGGGGAGGATATGGGATGGCGGGGGAGAGGATAGGAAGTTAACAAAAGGTTTTTGAAGATTCTACACATCACAAACAGCAGGGTTGCACTGGTTGTCAAAGTAATACACTGCCTGATGGTGGGCAGGGAAGGATATGGGATGTCGGGGCAGGAAATATGGGGTGATGCGGGACGAGGATATAGGGAGGTAAGGAGGAGGATATGGGGTGGTGAGAGTAGGGATATGAGGCTCATGGAGCATGTTATGATTTGAGGAGTCTACAGGTCATGTGCTGCAGGGATTGCACTGGCTGCCAGAGCTATACACCACCTGACTGCTGATTGGTGGCTGGGTGGGTCACGAATGTAGTCCAATCCCATGTGTGCGTGCCATGCCACTGCCAACTCTCCAGTGGGGTTTCTACATATGTCAACCACTAAAGAGCTGTGTCGAGCCTCTGGCTGTGTCAACTAAGTGAGATGAACGGCAGTAGAGGGACGCACCTGGATCATGCGAGTCTTGGAGAGCTGCTGATTGGTGGCTGGGTCACGGATGTAGTCGCACGTGAGGTACATGCTCTTCACGTTCGCCTCTGTGCATGGGACAGGCTTCAACTCTGCCCATGGGCATGGGTATGGGTATGGACACAGGCACAGGCACAGGCACAGGCACAGGCACAGGGATGGGAAGGGTGGTAAGTGGGTCTCAAGGATTTCGCCACAGGTGAGGTTCATACTCCTCCTTCCCACGTTGGTCTCCATGCAGTGAAGTGCAGCAGACCTGAAGGACGGGCTTTGGGTCTGATGAGAGTGACAGGCGTGGGCACGGGAGTCGGGGCACCAAGAACGAAAGGTTGGAGAAGGCTGCTGCGACACTGAGGACAACGGAGCTGCTTGACGGCAAAGGCAGGCCCTGGATACAAGTAGGGTCAGAGTGCGGACTGCAGTGCCGGGTGAGTGCTGCGTGCTGCGTGCTGCCTGGAGCGTGCTGTGTGCTACACTGCTGCTTACCACAGAACAGAAGGTCCACCAGGATTCGCTTCGACTCTTGCCCTCCCTGGCAGTCTATCGTTGCAGTGTGGGGGGGAAGCGGAGGGAAGCAGGGAGGGGGGAAAGGGGGGAGAAGCAGTGAGGGGAAACAAGTGAGGGGAGAAGTGAGAGTGAAACCAGCGAGGGGGAAATACAGTGAGGGGGGGATGCAGTTGGGGGAAAGCAGTGAGGGGGGGATGCAGTGCGGGGGAAAGCAGTGAGGTACCTATGGATGAGTTGCTACATCCAGAGGAGATCCTAATGTCTAACAATTGAAACAGTACATTTGAAAGAGCTAGAGCACTTACTGCTTGGGCGATACTGCAAGTAGCATTTGCCATCATCCCCTTTCGAGTACTCCTTCGCATAGTCAGAAGGCGTACACGCTGCAAGCACACCGGGGGACGGGAGGGATTCCCAGGAACGAGACAGTCTGAGAAGTCAGCGTGCTGAATCTACAAATTTGGATTTTCACATGCTGGTTCCTTGAAAGAAACCAACCCACAAATTTAAGCTGCAGAAAACCGCATCGTAAACAGCAGGGAGTACAGACGACTAGTCTAGCAGCAACACAGGGAGTAGCGGAAAGGAAGACGGAAAGGATGGAGAGGGAGCTGACCGCAGGGCTCCTTGCGGATGTTTTCAAACTGGAACGGGTGGGCCATCTAGTCTAGCAGTGAACAGGAAAATGCGGAAAGGAGGAGGAAAGGGATGGACAGGGAACTGACTGACCGCAGGGCTCCTTGCGGATGTTTTCAAACTGGAAGGGGTCGGTGCAGTTGCGATTCGCCTTCTCAAAGTTAATCTCCCTCTTTCCATCTGCCACACCGCACCACGCAACACCACATCACACCACACCAGTCGTCAAGACATCGTAGTAGATCTTAGGATGTCTCGAAAGGTGTCGCTCTTATGCCCTGGTGCACGATACGGAACGATCTCAGATTCTCATGGCAACCATTTGCTTGAGCTTTCTAAACGATGCAAGCCTTTATCATTCATGATGCTGCATTGTGCGTGCTGCTTTGTCGCGAATGGCGTAAGGCAGTCTTACCACCAGTAAAAACTAATAACGGATACCTTGGACAAGACCATAATGAACTTGGGCAAAGCAAAATTACCTTGTCACGGTTGAGACCAGGTTACCACGAGACACCTACTACGCCGAAAGCAGTTCAATACAATCCAAAGTTCTGCGACACTCTGTTTCTCAACTCGCAGATTACCTTGACAGGGTCCAGAAGCTCTGACGTAATCCGTCAGTTCGCACGTCTGACTGCCACTGGATTCTGGCAGTTGAGCCATCGTCCTCTCGACGCAAACGAAGATGGAGAATAGTACGGTGGACACAACAATCCTCGTGCGGACTGGCGCAGACACGTGGGATCCAGATCCGCGACGTGATCCTTTAGCGATTCGCGGTGCTTGAGAATCCATCCTGGCTAGAGTCGCTCGAAGTTTATCGCACGATTCGCCTATCCTGATGCCCTGGAGATGGAAAGTCCAGTCTTCTAGGGGAGCAGAGAATGGGGAAGCGAAAATATATGAAAATCGCCGCCGTTAATGGGCCAGGTCGACAACGGCGTTGACACGAAGCGAGCCCACTGTGAGTCGCCTGTTGACGCGACCTGCACCTATCCGAGCGACAAAGGTCATGGCAATGTCACCCGAAGCGGCCTCTACTGCCTATATCAGGGACCTCCTCCTCCCAGCGCCATAAAGTGCAAGTGAATCAGGAGTGGTGAATGGGTTGTGAATCGGACGTGACGACAATACGACAGGGAGCCTTCGGGACTGCCGAGATATGCTCGAAACTTTCAATAGAAGGACGTTCGCAGGTCAGATACTACAGTGGCAACATTTTTTATGAAATTAGCATGTACACCATCCTACTTCCAACCCTTATTTTCTACAAAGAAATCAGCATACTTGGAAAATAGCTGTGCACTCAAGGTCTGACACACAAAAAGACCTCATTTCAGTCCTAACATACCACACACTAAATAACACAATTGTCGTTTCAGACCAGCTAGTTAATCTCCTCCATATCGAGGATGAACTCCACTAGCTCAGCCTTGCGCATCCTCGAATACCCCCGCACTTTCCTTTCCTTGAGCAACGATTTCAAATCCTGGGCCGTCATCGCCTCAAGCGCATCTCGCCTCTTCACCCCATTCACACTCGGCGCTGCTTCCACCACCGCCTCGATATCTCCTACATCTTCTTCTTGGGTCACCGCTACTTCTTCAGCAGCACTGACTGATGCATCTGACACAGGAGCAGGTTCCAGCTGTTTCTCCTGAGCAGCAGCAGAACCAGACAGGTTCAGAACGACTTCTGTCAAGTGGGTGCCTGGGCGCGGTCTGGACTGGAACCTTGGGAATTGGCGCTTGAACTTAGAAGGCAGCCGGGGAGGAAGTGACGAACGCCATCGCGTGGCTGCTTCGACAAGCTCCTGTTCAGACAGAGAGGGAGATTGATTGAGTGTTTGGCCAACAATGGAACATGAGGGGAGAGGGGGGAGGGAGAACTGAACATCAGGCAACAAGATCAGGATCAATGGTGAGGGTTAAAGTTTACGGTGCTGATGACGAAGCTGACTTGCAAAATTATGGACAGGGTGGTATGGAAGGAGGGATGGAATGGGGGCAACAAGAGGCCACGCTAGTTAAAGACATGGTTACACAAGGCAAACAAATTTCCCATGAAAAAATGGATGAAGACAGAGCCGTGTCCAGCGAGCTCACAAAAGTGATGTGGAGCTGGTCTAGGAGTTTAATTTCGCAATGGGTTCATTACGGGATGGGTTTTGGGCTTTTCAGCACAAAAACCAGCTCACAAACTGGCAAAAGCCTGCACTCTTCCACGCGCGGTTATGTGGAAAGGCAAATGTTATCTGCGTTCCCTTCGTCTTTCCCGCCCGCAACAATGACAAAAGCAACTCACCGATTCATCGTCGCTGGGCTCGCCCGCTGCGGCCGCTGCCTCCAGTTTCCTCGCCATCGCATCCTTGAGCGGGCTCCGCTTCACAAATCTGGTGGGCGGCCGCTCGGGGATCGCAACAGCGACAGCAGGAGCAGCAGTGGTGGCAGACGCATGGTCAGCAGAGGCAGCACTCTCAGCAGAGGCCTCACCTGCTGCAGTAACCACAGCTGCCCTCTCGTCCTCGTGAACCGCAGATGCTACTTCCGCCATCGCTCCCGCCACCGCGCTCCGCTTAGAGCTCTGCTTGCGCCGTGCATTGGCCACGGGGGACCGCTTCGCGAACCCCATGGGGCGCTGACGCGTAGCGGCACCTCCTACCGCTGCCGCTGGTTCTGCTGCTGCTACTGCTACTGCTGCCACAGGCTCCACTACCGTCTCCTCCGTTACAGGCGCTGCTGCCACCGCTGCAACTGCTGGCTCTATCTCAGCGGCTGGTGCCGACTCCGCTACGACTGCTGCCTCTGCCTCGACTGCTGCAGGATCTGCCTCGACTGCTGAAGGCTCTGCCTCGACTGCAGCGGGCTCTGCCTCGACTGTTGCGGGCTCTTCCTCTTTGGGAATATCGGCTAATGCGTTGTCTGCTGCTGCAGCGACTACTACCGGATCGGCGCTCACCTCTTCTTGCAACGCTTCAGTAGCCGTTGCTGCTTCTGCCTCCGCTTCTTCCACTCCTGCTGGAGCAATCTCCGCAACCTCAGCTGGAGCTTCGGGCTCAGCCGGTGCGGCTGTCTCGGCTACTGGCTCTGGCGCAGGCACTGGCTCGGGTTCAGGTTCCGGCTCTGGAACAGGCTCGGGCTCTGGTTGAGGTTCGGGCTCTGCAGCTTGTTCGGGAGCGGGCTCTGAGGCAGGTTCAGGGGTGGGTTCGGTTTCCTGTGTGGGTGTTGGTTCGGCAGAGACCTCAGGTGTAGGCTCTGGCGTTGGATCAATCTTTGGGGGCGCCGAGGTGTCGACATCGCCGAAGGAGTAGAGAACGGTACCGTCAGGAAGCTCTGCTCCAAATTAGAGTTGAAATGTACACAGGGAGGCACGAATGTTCTATCGTGAGTTTTTTTTAGAAAATGTAAGTCGTTAACAAAAAAAAGGTCTATTTTTAAAAGCTTAAAAAACAGAAGTCCTACTGACAAACAGGAAGTTGCAAACATCTATCTCGCGTGATAAAAAGAGAATGCATCAAGAACAAAATGAAGCAATACGTGAAAACAATCATACCTTTGATTTCGATAATGTCGAAGAACGAAGGGGGTTGGTTCTCATCAGATTGCGCTGCCATGGCTACGCACCGCCGACCATGGCTGCTCGACCTTGTTGAAATCCATGGAGAAACGGAAACCCGGTTTAACGTCTTTACTCCGCCAGAAGCTGTCTCCGCTACGACATTGCTCCGCGTTCTGCTCAGCGAGGCCGCCGGAGGCGGAGCGCAGAGCGACAACATGGAGGTTGCTGCCGCCGTACGACTGCTCAGCATTGTCTTACACAGGATTGAAGCGCGAAGGGCGGAGAGCTCTGGTCAGCCCAACTAACCAAGGCCCTACAATGACAATGATTCCAACAATGACAACGGCCTAGAGACAAACGAGAAGGACCATTGCGAAGGTTGCTGCTTGCATGTGTTGGGTTGTGGGGGGTTGGGACCTGCTGCTGCAATGCGGCCGCATTCAAGCATGCAACTCTGATGACATTTGGTTCGTCACACTCAACCAAAAAATGGTATGTATTGGAAGAGTGGTGCAGGAAGTACTGTTCTGCCTTTGCCAGAATGGGTGCGTATGAACCTTTGACTCCATTCAGAAGTCATATTCTCGAAGTTTCAACAGAAAACAGTTCCTCGGGAGTTCCGTTGGGCAGAAACTGCAGAATCAACAGATGAGCTGGCGGTGAGCGGGAAACTGTTGTACGTGTGGCTCAGCGTCCCTCGCGCGCACATCGTTATCCACTCATGAGAATCCACTCGCTACAAAGGTGACTCGCGATAATCATTTTCCGTGCAGAGAATCAAAACTGCACTAAATCTGTTCTTCATAATTTGTAGGGTACAGCAAGAATAATGAGCCATTCAGCATCCACACATTGTCTCTTTCAAACGAGTATGCATTGGTCTGTCACCAAACGCGCTTCACACAGCAGCTGCATCTCTGCTAGAAGCAACCACCGCGATTCGCACTGAGCATGTCAGCTTTGCTGCCTGTAACATGGCTCCCTGCTCCGGCGTATTTGGGCCAAACCCGACTACTCTCGTCGCGTCGTAGTTCTCTCGCTCTCGCTGCTCCGTATCTGTTTCGCAGGACAAATTTAAAAAATCCTAGCCACGTAACGCAGTCCCGAAGTTCGCGTCTGAAAGTAAGAGCATCGGCGCCGGATATGGAGTCAGTTGCCGCGGAAGAAGCGGCGTCTAAGCCGCTCCACGCGGTGGTATGCGGGGGAGGCGTTATCGGCGCGTGCACTGCGTTTTACCTAGCGGAGAAGGGGGTCAAAGTAACGGTCGTCGAGAAGTGCCACGTGGCATGCGCTGCTTCTGGAAAGGCGGGTGGGTTCCTTGCATTGGATTGGTGCTCCGGCCCTACTGGGAAGCTCGCACAGGTGAGAGCCAAGTAACGATATTAAGTCACAATTGAGAATTCAAGAGCCACTAACACAACGTATAAAATTCAGTGAGTATTTCTTCACATACGTTGTTCAAAAGCCAGCAAAAGCCAGTATGTTAAGTCTATTCCCATTTTGCTCCCTTCTCCAATCCTTTCCCCTCCCTTTTCCCTACCAGCTGAGCTATCGTCTTCACGAGCAGCTAGCACAGCAGTTCGGTGACTGTTACGGTTACCGCAAGGTGCACACGCTCAGCCTCCAGGTCGCCGAGCCCAAAAAATCGTCTGGCGGGCAGCGAACAAAGAACTCCACGCTGCCTGGATGGATAGACGGGCCAGTGCGGGGAGTCCAAACGATGGGATCGCCAGTCACAACTGCCCAGGTTCACCCACAACTGTTCACAGAGACTCTACTTAGAGTGGCTGGGGAGAGGCATGGGGTGGAGGTACAACTGGGGGAGGTTCAAGAGGTTGCTGTGGCGCCAGTGGGGGATGCTGCTGCTTCCTCTAAAGTCACTGGTGTGATTGTAGATGGTGCTACAGTGCCAGCTGATATTGTGCTGTTTGCACTGGGTCCTTGGTCCGGCAAGAATCGTCTCATAGCACGGCTGGGCCAGATTACAGGGCTGAAGGCGAACAGTGTCGTGGTCCGGCCGAACCAGAATCCCGATGCTGTGACCAACCATATGCTCTTCCTGCAGTACAGGACAAAGGACGGGCGGCATGCAGACCCAGAAATTTACCCCCGGCCATCGGGGGAAGTTTACCTCTGTTCCGTCACAGAAGGGGATAATTACCTTCCGGATAATCCTGAGGAAATCACCACCACCCCAGGCGTCCCAGAGTTCTTAAAACGAGTTGGAGCCACAGTGTCGTCGGCACTATCAGATGTGACTATAGTGAAGGAGCAGGCGTGTTTCCTGCCATGCTCCCAGGATAATGTGCCTGTAATAGGCGCTGTGCCAGGGATGCAAGGGGCGTACGTAGCAACGGGGCACAGCTGCTGGGGCATTCTGAACGCCCCTGCTACAGGCCTGGCTGTAGCAGAGCTGGCTGTGGATGGCAGGGCTAGCTGTGTGGACCTTAGACCCTTTGACCCTGCTAGGTTCTTGTAATTTTTTTTCGTTGTAGAGTAATTTTTTATGCAGAGTAATTTTTTATGCACAATGTTGGCTTCCCCTCTCCTAATTGGTTGCGTGTGGAACAGTGGGACCTGTGCATGCTGGCATGCAAGGCGAGTCGCATAGCAGTGTGGCACAGGTGGTCATGTTTTGCCCTTGTTGTAGGCCTGGGCTGCATCAGTGCTGACAGCTCATTTCACTGCCAGGATATAAATAGAAATGTAATATATGTATCATCACTGTCATTTCAGAAGATATATAGTTTAGTTCTTTAGTGTATGGGATGTTTTTCAACTAAGTATTCTTCATTGATAGTGAAATACACCCTATAAGAATAGCCCATGTCTAGAAATGTAGCATTCAGATCAGTTGGTCTGGTCTAGCGTGCGGCGGTACGGTGTGCACAAGAGATGCGAGTGGAGGGCAACCACAGCGTCTTGAGCGGCGAGGGCGGGAGGGCGAGCAGGCATGAGAGGGAGAGTGAGAGGGAGAGCAAGAGGGGGAGTGAGAGGGGGAGTGAGGGGGGAGAGGGGAATGAGAGGGAGATGAAGTGGGGAATTGGAAGAGGGAGTGAGAGGGGGAGTGGGCGGTGAAGTTGCCACCCTCAGGGAGTGGGTGCGGGTCTCTGGTGCTCTTTGAGCCTGGGCGGACCCCACTCTCCCACTGCTTCACTGCGCTCAGCCTCCCTGTCCGTTCTCCCTTTCAAATGCCCCCTCGTGGCCTTCCTCTCCCTGTCCCGCTCCCCCTGGCTCCACTCCTCCCCCCCCTGCTCCGCCCAGGCGGGGGCCACAGCCGAGGACCTTCATTTCTTCCAGCAGCTGGGAGAAGCGCTGCTGCGGGCGCAGACACGTTATTGCCTCGTTGAACCGCCTCTGCCTGCGTGGGGGGAAGAGAGGGGAAGAGGGGGGGGAAAGGGGGGGAGATGGGGGGAGAGGGGGAAGAGGGGGGGAGAGGGGAGGAGAGGGCGGGAGAGGGGGGGAGAGGGTGGGAGAGGCGGGAGAGAGGGCGGAACAAGGAGGAAATGAGAGGAGATGAGGACTGCCGCTGCGGACGCAAACACATGATGGCCTCATTGAACCGGCGCTGGCTGCATGGGGGGAGGGGGGGGGGGGGGGGGGGGGGGAGAGAGATGGGTGGGAGGGTGTTGTGGCGGGGGAAAAGGGTGGGTAGAGAGAGTAGGAGAGAAGAACCACTGCTGCGAGCGCGGACACGTTATGGCCTCGTTGAACCGGCGCTGGCTGCACGGGGAGGGAAGGGGGTGAGAGGGGGGGAGAGGAGAAGGGTGGGGGTGTGGGGAGGACAAGGAGGGTTCACGGACTGGATGCCAGAGTTGAAAGCAAGCAGCGTTGAAAGCAAGCAGCGTTGAAAGCAAGCAGCGTTGGAAGCAAGCAGCACAGCACCCTAGACTATACGACACGCTTTTGTTGATCATACCAGAATGATGCTCACTTGGGCAGGCAGGCTCACTGGATGTTTGGTGGGCCGTTGGCAGGGCAGCAGCGCACCACTCACCGGATGACAGCGCTTACAGCGACTGACGGCACTCACCAGATGTCAGCGCTTACAGCGCTGACAGCACTCAAGTGCCAACTCTTGAGGCGCCTAAGAATCATTTAGAAGTCAAACACAACACAGCACTCACCGAATGACGGCGTTGACGGTGTCCCTCAGTTGCAGCCCGCCCCTCTGAATACCTGCACGGATGGGCGCACGGGGATGGGCGCACGGGGATGGGCGCACGGGGATGGGCGCACGGGGATGGGCGCACGGGGATGGGCGCACGGGGATGGGCGCACGGGGATGGGCGCATGGGGATGGGCGCACGGGGATGGGCGCACGGGGATGGGCGCACGGGGATGGGCGCACGGGGATAGGCGCACGGGGATGGGCGCATGGGGATGGGCGCACGGGGATGGGCGCACGGGGATGGGCGCATGGGGATGGGCGCATGGGGATGGGCGCAGAGGGATGGTGAAAATGCAGTCAGGCAGGGCACATGCACAAAGGCATGGGCATGCATGGGCATGGACATGGGCATGGGCATGGGCGTGGGCATGGACATGGGCATGGACATGGGCATAGACATGGGCATGGGCATGGGCATGCACACGCACGCGCACATGCACATGAACCCCCCTTCCTCTCCCAGACTTCCCCATCTCTCCCACCTGTTCGATCATGAGCGCGGAGTGCGGCCAGTGGAACCCAAAGTAAGACAGCATGCACGCGTCCAGCTCCGCGATCAGCTCCTCCCCCAGCTGCTCCCCCGCCCCCGCTCCCGCGAGCCCCCGCCTCCCCCCTGTCTGCGCGACGAGCGCGAGAAGGTTGGCGCGGCTCTTATCGAATGTGCTCTTATCCGATGTGCTCTTATCGCCCCTCACTTAGTCGTCCGCCACCTGCGCCCGTAGAGCCACGGCTGCCATGTGACTTTTGAGTCGCCTCAAAAGTCGCCTGCGCCAGTAGCGCCACCGCTGCCAGGTCCGTGGGCATGCCCCACTGGCGCACTGGCGGACGGGGAAAGCGGAGAGGAGGACGGGGGAGGGGGACGAGGAGTGTCCGAAGGGAAAGGCGCGGGTCGCACATGATGCCCGTGCGCTCACTACCACGTACCACCTTCTCGTCCTCTCTAACCTTCCCGTGGCTGTGCGTGGGACCGTGGAACATTTCCGGGAGCTGCGGCTTCCCAGGCGGGAGTGCGTGTTTTTCCGCACATGACACCAAGAGTTGGCTGATGCTTCATAAAGAAGGTGATTGTTCAAGGGCAGATCCTCGACATTAGTTTGAAAGCACATCAATTGCAGGTTGTACCAGCAAACAAATGACGCCCCAGGCCCACACTCATGCGTCAGGCCATGGATCACAAGCTTTGTTTTAGTCAGATATTAGTTGATCACAAAATAACACACATTTTAGATACTTTATGTTGAAGTAAGAAAAGGAGGTGAAGGGCATCTAAAGTGGAGTAGAAATGAACTTAAACACAAATCACACAGAAAGTTCATGTGCTTTCATTCAGTTCTCAGATTGAGGACGTCTTTGACGAGGAATGGCATCTTATCGAAGACATAGAATATTCACTCTTGGTCTGACGTGTAAAGTTCACCCACTCCTAAAACCCCGTTTTGCCAGCGTAGAAAGTCCAACTGCAATCCTTGACACCCTCGAGTTTTGGGTTTGAGTTGGTGAGGGAATGGAGGCATGCTGGTTTCTTGACTAGGTCAATGGGTCAATGGCGTTGCAAGGTATGGAGCAGTGCGTGTGTGACAGAACAGAGAAGCAAGTTCGAGGTTGGCCGAGCATTTGGTGGTGTAATCCGAACACGTCAGAACAGTGTGCCACGTATGCGGATATCCACGAAGAATTCCCCGCAAACGCCGCAAGCCTTCGACAACCGTCGATCTCCTTCGCCGTAGCCACAAGAATTTCGTGGCAACCAATCATGAGCGGCAGAGGATAACCCCCTATGTTCCTGCATCCCGGGCATGTTTCAGCGGTTCGAAAGATTCTGTGGTGGTCCTCCCTTCCTTGGGTCACGGGCACCGTGCCTAGAACCTCGCATGAAGTGGGGGCTGGGACCCAGCGTGTCGCTCTGCCCGCTGACACGTTCGGAGCTCTGCAAACGAATCGCTGGCGGGCAAACGCAAAATATTTTCCTCAGAAACGGCCGAAGCTGCTTTACTATTGCCCCTTTCAAGCATCATCGCTGTTCAGTTTCCCGTCAACACTACTGACCAAACTCAAACCCAGTCTGATGCTCAGTGTGGTGAACATCGACAGTAGTCCACGGAAAACCAGGAAACAAAGTCAGTTCGACGGACCGCATCTGAAAAATCTCCAAATTTCTCTGACCCATGTGAACCATGCCCCCGGAGATCGGGCCAAACAAACACCCAGAGTGACCGCTTCATTCCTTGTTACCCTCTGCCGCCCTGCAGAACACACCCGCTGCGCACCCCTTGTAACAACCTCCCCGTGCCATCTTTCGGGAAAATTCCCGAGATGTCCGTAACGAATGTATGCGCGCCTGGTTCCTGCTGCACCTGCTGCGGACGAATGGCACGGTTGCGTGGGCAGACGCTGGCGGAGCAAAGCACGCTCACGCTGCACCCCCAGCCGAAGGCCATTTGCCATTCATCCCTGTCACATAATCTCCCGCACCACCCCCAGCACCAGTTCACACCAATCATTCCCCCCAGCCTGCCTGTCTGGTCCCACTTCCAGACCATTCCTCGATTCTGTTTCCCGCGTTTCTGACCCTCTGAAACCGTTTCTGCTCCTAGCCTGTTACTCCGACCTGAAATGCAGGACCGCCATGGATGCTACTCACCCGTACGCGATGCTGCCTATAGAAGACCCGGTTCCCCATCATAATCGGGCAATTGTGGGTGTGAACGTCGCAGTTGGAGCGGTCAGCATATCCAGTTCGACGCTCGAGGCGTCAACCATGGCTGCCGTTTGGACCCTTGAGTCTTCAACACTCAGCTAGCAGGACGTACATTTACTATTTTTCTTCAATCGCTGCTCCAAACTGGTGGACAAGGCCGGTACCTTGGCGAAATCATCGCGTCCGCACGAGTCTCTGACCGACCCGACTCTGACATCTGACAAGACTGAGCGTCAAACATCGACACTAACATTTTTTCATTAAGCCTTAATTTTTCCCCTGCTATTTTGTAAAGATCAAGACCAGCCATGACCAGCGCAGCCCCTTCAGCAATGGCTTCCCGCGTCGTGGGGTCTCCAAGCCCGCTTCTTGACCGTGCCGCCTCCAGCTCGTCATCGTTTCTCAGCGGACGGCCTCCTCTGTCTTCTTCCGGTACCAACTTCTTTCGCGGGACAACTTCCCGGGCGCGTGGCGGACTTTCCTCGAAAGATCGGGTTTCATCTTCTTCAACCATCAGTAAAAAAACCGGACCGCGAGTCAAGGCCAGACTCGCCCTTGCACCTGCTCTTAGAAGCGCGGATATATGGCCTCAGCACCCTTGCGGCTCGGTCTTGGTGATTAAGGCTCCACCAGCACTGCGGTCGATTAAGCGCTTAATCTCCGCCGTCTCTGCGCGCCCCGCGGCTTCCCGGACCAACTCTGCGGAGACTTCTGCGGGCGGAAGCGAGGATATTCCGGCAGAATCGAAGCTTCTCTCTCAGCAAGACGACGAAGCGCAATCGGCACCTGTCCCCGCGATCGTACTTCCGCAACTGCCGTCTCGGTTCGCTTTGCCTACTCCTCGTCTGAATCGTCGCGCTCTGCTTGGCATCGGCGCCGCCGCACTCGGCGCCGCAGCCGCCGCCGAGCTGGGGTTGGTCAACGCGGCGGCGGCGGAAGCGGGGAAAGAGAAGTCGCCGTTGTGGTTCCTCGGCAACGCTAACGGCGCCGGGGTGAGCGTGGATGGCGGCGCGAAGGCCGCGGCAGCGCCGAAGGGCCCCGAGTCGCGTGTGTACGACGCAACGGCGGTCGGAGAGCCGGCGCTGCTGGGGGATAAGGAGGGCGTGTGGCAGCGACTTTTGGCGGCTCGAGTGGTGTACCTAGGCGAAGCAGAGATGGTTCGCGACCCGACGGACAAGGTGAGGCTTGACGATGGAGGTATAGTCTTAATTCCGCCATTGTTTTTGTGTTTTGTCTACTTCCAACTAGTTTTCGGTATATCTTGACACATGCTGCCCCCATTTCTGCAACATACATATTAAGGCTTAATCGTTGAAGACCATGCTTCCCTCTAAGACGTTCTCTTTTCCTTTTTTCGCCTACCTCGCCTTAAATTATTCAGGTCGTGGCTCTGGAAATCGTAAGTCGGTTGAGAGACGAGTGCTTCAAGGCGGGGCGCCCCGTCACCCTCGCGCTCTCTGCGTTTCCGCGATCCACGCAGCCGCTTCTCGACAAATATCTCAACAAAAGGTGAGGCATCTTCTTGTACGCGCTGCACCGTTACTCTATTTCGAGATGTTATTTATTTCCCTGTATCTCGTATTTCTGACCGCATCTTGTTTCTCTGCCAGGCTTTCTGAAGAGGACCTCCAGGTGGCAGTGAGCCATTGGTCCAAGGGTCGCTTCGAGGAGATGGTTCCGCTTTTGCAGTACTGCCGCGACTCGGGCGTCCGCCTCTTCGCGTGCGGCGTGCCTCCTAAGGTGAGCGGCGCGTCGTAGTCATTACAAGAACCTCGGCACATCGTTAATTGTTTAGGCCTCACTTCTTCGCTCCCTCGCTCCCTTTTCTTCTTCACCTCGAAGACTTGACTTAACATTTTCTCGACCCCGCCCTCCGCTCCTTCTCCCCCGCGCGCCCCTTTCCGCGTCAGATTCTGCGCTCGGTGCAGGCAGGCGGAGTGCAAGCCCTCGCGCCCATCGACCGCCAGCGCTACGCCCCTCCCCTCGGCGGCTTCCCCGCGCCTTCGCCCTCCGCATCAACCGACCAACCGCTTACCAGCTCCGCGGCGGCATCCGCGACGGCGGGGCTGTGGGGGCTGGAGCCAGCGGCGGTGGCGGCGGAGGTGTACTCGCGGGAAGCCGTTTCGCGAGCGTCGCTGCCTTTCGGCCCGGGGCCGTACTGGTTCGCGCAGGCGCGCGTGGTGGAGCAGCACGCCGTGGCGCGCAGCATCGATCAGGCCATGGCGGACGGCGGAATCGTCGGGCTGCTCGTCGTCCTCACGGGCGCGTCGCAAGTGCGCTACGGAGCGCAGGGGTCCGGAGTCCCTGCCCGGATCAACAACGGGCAACTGAAAATTTCTGCTGGGTCGCAACGAGTGGTCCTTCTCAACCCCGAGCGCCAGCGCAGCCGGGGAGACGGTGAACTGCCCGAAGCCGATTTTTTCTGGTACTCGGGCAGCCGCATGTGCACGCAAAACTGTTATGACAGGGCGGAAATCGCGCGCGTGATGGGCGCAGCGGGGAGAACCTTCGACAACCTACCGCAGGACCTACAAACGGGGATAGAACGCGGATTAATCTCTCCGGACACGCTCCAGTCGTTCTTCGAGTTAGAAAGCCACCCGCTAGTCGCGGAGGCGACGAAGCGCTTCCAGGGGCTGCGGGAGCGCGTGTACGCCGACCCGCGGTTCCTCCAACGGATAGTAACTGAGGAGGCGATCAGCGTCACGACGGCGCTGCTGGCGCAGTGGGAGAAGCGGCGCGATCGATTCTGGTCGGAGATCGAATACGTCGCGACGGACGTGCTGCGCGGCGTGATCGTGAATTTCTTCACCGTCTGGTTACCCGCTCCCACGCTCTCGTTCCCCGCCGCCTCTGCCGCCTCTTCAATCGCGGGCTCCGCAGCAGCAGGAGCGGCTGGCGCAGCGGGGGCGGTGCAAGGGCCGGTGCAGCAGCTGGTGTCAGGTGTGGGTGCGTGGGCTGCGACGCTGCCGAAGAACGCGTTTCAGAGGGCGACGCAGCCCGGGCAAGACTGGGGGCTGCAGCAGCGGCTCGCGTCCATCCTCTTTACAAGCGGGAAGCTGTTCACTGTAGGGTTCTCGGCGAGTGTTGGCACTGTAGCGCTGAATAATTTGTTCATGGAGGTGAAGAACCGCCTGGGAGAGTTGTCTGCTGCTGGCGGCGCTGCTTCTGCTGCCGCTGCCGCTGCCGCTGGTGCTGCTGCTAACGCGCCTGCTGCAACGAAGCGGTCCCCTGTGCTGAAGACTGCTGCAGTGTATGGCGGGTTCCTTGCCACGTCAGCGAATCTCCGGTACCAGGTGATAGGCGGGGTAGTGGAGCACTGGATCGCGGATTACTACCTAGCAGCCAACCCCATGGCAGGAGCAGCGCTTTCCATGATTGCGCGTACTCTCAACTCCTACTGGGGAACCTCCCAGTGGGTTGATCTTGCCCGCTTCGCCGGCCTCCAAACCTCCACCGCCCAGTCCTCTGCTCCTGCTTTGCCAGCTGAATCAGCGGCAGAAGCGGCAGCGGCGGCGGCAGCAGCAGCAGCGGCAGAAGCGGCGGAAGCATCAGCAGTGGCGGCTGCGGCTTTGGAGCAGGCGTATTCGGCCTCTCCCTCGGGGTTTTCTGGGTTGACTCCGATCCCTGTGCTGGTCCATGATCCGCGCTATGCTGCTGCTAGTGCCGGCGTGCCTGCGTTTGAGGCCTGGCAGTATGCTGCTCCTGCCGCCGCTGCTGCAGAGGCAGCTGCTGACAGGGCAGTGGCAGCAGAAAGGGTGGCTGCAGCAGCAGCAGCAGCGGCAGCGGAAGCAGCAGAAGCAGAAGCAGAAGCAGCAGCAACAGAGAAAGCAGTGGCAGCAGAAGCTGCAGCTGCGGACTCAGAATCCCTAGCAACAGCGAACTCAGATTATCTCCTGTTGGGAATCCCGGCGCTCCCTGAGCAGATATCCTCATTCTCAGTCTCTGAATCAGGTGAATCTCTGCCTCCTGCCGCTCAAGAGCCTGCACCACCTACCACCAGGACCCTCCCTGGAACACCCAACGGATTTGAGGGAACGGATTCTGCAGCAGCTGTTACAGAGGCTCTTTTTGAACTGCTCCGGGAATCAGACGAATCAGAGGCTGCGGCCGTTGACCGCCTGATGACCACTGCTCCCGATTCCCCGCTTCCTCTCGCGGCTATTGGGCTTGAAATCACGGAGTCTGAGAGGAGTGAGCGTGGTGGTGCTTGGGCGATATCGGATGAGGAAATTATCTTGGAAGCCGCAGAGCTGTCAGTCCCCTCCTCTCCCCCCATGGGATCTGTGATCTCGCTTGAGCATGTGTCAAGGGTAGGGGATGTGGAGCTGCTTCCTTCTCTGGATTCCTCCATCCCTCTTGATTCTCTGTCTACTCTTGATTCACATCCCTGCCTTGACTCCCTTCCTACTCTCGACTCGCTTCCTTCTCTTGATTCTCTTGCCTCTGGTGATTCTTTAGAAGTGCCTGCAGTGGTGCCTGCAGTGGTGCCTGCAGTGGTGCCTGGTGATGGCCCTGCTGTGACAGTGCTGGGTGAAGAATCACCCAATGCAGTGGCAGTGGCAGTGCCAGCAGCAACAGCAGCAGCACCACCAGCAGCAGGTTCAGGTTCAGGTTCAGGTTCAGGTGCAGGTTCAGGTTCGAGAGCTGACGAGCAGTTTTCTTCACCGCGGGATGCGGTGTGTGCGTGAAAATGCGGCGGGGGTGAGCAGGCTGAGAGATGATAACGGCACTCGGTGGAATCCATGGTAAACGAATGTCTCAGTCGCAGCAGAAGCAGCGGCTGGGATGGATATGCGTTGGCTGACAGGCAGCAGCAGGACCTGATTGGAGCGATGGAAGAAAAAGGGTCAGTTGAAGCCTGAAGCAGCGGAACAGGAATTTGTGGAGGGGCAGAAGAACGCACAAGTCGTATTGCGGCGGCTGTGTTGGTGGTTTCAGCAGCAGAAGCTGCTGAGGGTGCAGTTGCATGGGCAATGCAGGCAAGGGAAGCATGAAGCTGAAGCAGAGCAGCAGGGCAGGTGGGACCCGCAGTGCAGTGCGCAATGGTCTACGGAGTCTATGGCTGTGTTAATAATAAGGGATGGAGGCCCAGGTTTGGAGACAGCTGGCCTTGGGATCTCAAAACCCCCAAGAATTCAAGCTAGAGGCGCAAATTTAGGAGGAAGGAGGGGAGGGGCTGGGGTGATGAGGGTTTCTGGGTGTTGTTGAGTTGCAGGTTTTGGTTGGGTTAGTTAGTATTCTGTATCTTTTCTAGGCTTGCCTATCATGAACACCGAGTGTGAAAGATGGGCCTGATTTCAAATTCCTTGTTGGTACGGTAGTTTCAGCAAAATCTGCAGATTGCTCAAGTAATTAGCAGCATCTGTACCGTACGAGCACAACCTGTAATTAATATTGGTACAGCTATGGTAATAACAGAGCAGCAAATAATGTGGTTTGACGATGCTATCTGATGTGATACAATATTTTTTTATCACGACCATAAACTCGGGAAAATCAGAATATTGGGAATACATCACATTCAATAGATTGAGAGCTGCGTAGATATGAAATATGTAGCCTACGAAACATGAAAATACAAATCGAAGCGCACCAGATTTCAGCCCACCGCATCGCAGCTCACCACGGGAATGATGAGGCAAGTCCATCAGTATCACATCCCACTAAATTCCGAGGGGATTAAAATTTGTTGAGGGGCTGCCTTTGGGAAGTTAGCAAAAGGTCATCGTGCTTTTAGGTACCCGTACCTCAGTGCAGCTAGGACAGACAAATAAAGTAAATGGATAACGAAAGAACCGTAGCGTACATAACAATACAACGAGCTAGATTACCAGCCCACCAAAACCCAGCCCACCAAATCGCAGCCCACCAAGGGAACGGAGGAGCATGTCAATCAAGATTACACCACCGGCTAGAGTGCGAATTTAGTTGAGGGGCTCCATGGGAAAGTCCTCGACGGGGCTCAGCTGCTTGGCGCGGTGGTACTCCGTTTGCGCGCAGTCCACGGACAGCACGGAGCTCGACTCGTACAGCCGGGGAGTGCCGTCCAGGAACCCAGCGCCCTCCGCGCTGTCAGCCGACACCGGACGGTGCAGGTTCGCGATCAGGCGCTGGAAGTCGGCGGCGCGAGCCGCGTGGTCGGGGCGGTAGGTTTGACCGAGCACGCCGTGCACGTCGTCGGTGTGCTCCAGCTCCACAATCCCCACGTTGATGTGCGCCTCGGCCTCGCTGGGCGTCTGCAGCTTGGGGTTGGCCACGCGCAGGCGCAGGTCGAGCGCCACGAGCCCGTCGATGGTGAGCGTGTAGTAGTCCACGTCATACGGGCCCTCCTTCTCCAGCGCCGCGAATCGCAGAGTCAGCCCGCCCTCGGTCGTCACCTCGTCGCCCACGTGCATCCTCGGGATCTCCTCGCCGTCGATCTCGATCGTCTTCATGAACCCATCACCACGCTCCTGCTGCTTGCCGGAGCGCGCCGCGAGCCGCACCTTGTGGTCGGCGCCGTTGGCGAACCACACGATGCCCAGCTCCTTAATCCACGTGTGCACGGCCTTGCCGTCCACAACGAGCGCCGCGTTCTCCGTGTCGTCCGAGTAGTACCCGCGCAGCAGCATGTTCACGTGCAGGTCCTTGTCCGTCAGCAGGCAGAACGCCTTGTCGGGGCGCCCGTTGAAGTCGAAGTGCGTGCCGTACGCGCCCACCAGATGCGGGTCGTTCACCACGTTTGCCGCGGGGTTGCACTCGCCGCCCGTGCGCACCTGCAGATGAACCGGCTTCGAGTCCGTCGCGTACTGCGCCGTCATGTCGCCGCACGAGTAGTCGATGTTGTCGTGCACCAGGTAGCACGCGCCCTCCGTCTTCTTGCCGTCGATCGTGATGTCAGGGATGTACTGCCAGTACGTGCAGCTGCTGTACCCCGCGCACGTGTTGCAGCACGTCTGCGGGGACGCCTTCTTCAGCGTCAGCGGGTTGCCCTTCACGTACACCTCCACGCCCAGCTTGTTCTTCAGCAGGTTCGACGTCTTCCACTTGGCGGCGATGCCGCCCTTGCTGCAGTTGGCGGGCGTGCACGCGCCCTCCCCGGGTTTGCCCAGGTCCTTGTGGCACTTCATTTTGTTCCATCCCGCAACCTTCACGTCCACCATCAGCATACTGTCCGTGCTCGGGCTCACGATCGTCGTTCCCTCGAACTTGTCAAGCCCGCCGGCGGCCGCCGCCTTCTCGATGCCAGGAGGGACCTCGGTTGCCACGCCATTCTCGCCCTTGGCCTTGTCCAGGCTGACCGCAGGGTTGTTGGGTCCAGTCACGACGGTTTGTCCTGCGGACGCCACCGCCAGCAGCACGGCGAACGTTGCGACGAAAAGTAGACGCGCCATGGGCTAAACTCTTCTGCTGAATCTGGTGATTAAGGATTCTACTATACTTAGTCAAATCGACAATACTGCGCAGGAGCGTATTTGGCTTCTATGCTGCCAGAGAAATGGAGAAGCCCCGCGCCTTGGGTCACCTCTGAAACTGATTAATACTGTTATGCTGTACTGCTAAATGAGTTGGATCTTTATGATCCTCGGTGCTGTTTTATTTGCTACCACCCCATGCCCAGGCACGGCTGAAAGCGAGGGTTTGGTTTGAGGTTTGTTGCGAGCCGCGACAACATGTACAAACCGAATCGTGCTCAACCTGGTAAGGTTCAGGTCAGGAGAAAAGTAACTACAGTGTGTGTACTGTGTCTGCATTCAGTTCGACCTGCGACAGAGGCGTCCCTACCAGTCTGAAGCTAACCAGGTTTCTACTCAGGCAGCGTTTTCTACTTTTGCTGTTTTTCGGATCGCAGATTCAGGTGTCTGTGCCGCGGTCAATCTAACCTGCCCACACACACTTGGTGAGTTGTTTTGCTTCGCTTCCTTTCGCCTTCCTCACTCGCATCCCTTCCTCTCAAACCATCCTCAAATCATCCGCACCGTGCTCAACCCAATTGGGCCATTTTCTGGCTTATTGTGACAAGACTCTACAAGGAGTCTCCAATGCAGTCGTCATAGGTCGTCACAATCATTAAATTTAGAGACTTAATTCTAAATTATTCATGTCGCATAATTTGCCCGAATCCAGAGCAGATTTGTGTTTTCGATGTAACCAGCATGGTTACCACCCAACACTCCATCTCTCCAAGTCGACTCTCTCTCGCAACCCAGCGCTGCCTTTGGTGCCTAGGGACGCGTCACCTGAACGCCAATCCTGCGATTGATCCTACGTAGGATCGTTTTTTTTTCGTGGCTCCAAAAACGTCTAGATGTTTTGAATGCAATATGCGGGTTTTTAGTGCGGTCAAATATCGGTTTTTGCACGATCGAGCCGGAGGGGACGCGTCCTTAGGGTTTCGAGGCTGGCAACCAGGGCCTATTTTATCAGGGTAAAATACCCTTTTTGCCCTGACGGTAGGCCGGTTTTTCCCAGTCACCTGTCAAATGTTGTAGCCTCTAGTGGGTCATGCTATATGGGGTACAAACAGTTAGGGTTAGCCATTTGTACCCCAACCCAATCAATCCAATTCATTCCGCTGTGTTTAGTTTCTGAGATGGTATTAGCAGTAGGTTCGCCGTTCCTACGCATCACCTAGCCGTCGTCGTTCCTAGACTTAGGGTACATTCCTGTGTGGACATTTGTGTCTCAATCCTTTAGTGACACGTAAAAACACCATAAAACGTAGTATGTCGCAAACGGAATCGCCTTTTAGCGACCATTACTGTATTTTTCATTGGTCAGCGTGAAACGCGCTGATGTCGCGAACGAGTTGCAAATTGACTCGTCACTGGTAAAAAGTCGCACGCGTTCGAAATGTCAATGCACCTGAACACCCCCAAACGCCAATTTCGCGCGGGAAACAAATCCCGCTCGTCTAAACCACACCCCAGCCATGCGTTTGAAGAAACGGGTGTACAGTCATTTCCGAAATCCAATAAAAAACGCACAACTGTACATTTCGCCTGGTCGCCTAGTGTCGCGATACATTAATTTTTTGTGACGCGAGGTTGACAAAATGTTTCGACGCGACTCGGGAAAAGGGGGATTGAGACATTTGTGTCCACATAGGAATGTACCCTTACGCCGCCTCCTTCCTCCACGTGTGCCCTAAAACGCCTTAGCCCGCGCCTCGCCAACGCGCCACGCCATCGTGCCACGCCAGCGCACCGCGCTGCCCACTAGCGCACCACGCCACCCGCTCGTCGACCTGCAGCGCGTCCCGTCCGCTAGCGCACCGCGCCGCCCGCCCGTAGGCCCGCGCGTCGCGTCGCCCGTAGGCCCGTGCGTCACGCCACCCGTAGGCCCGCCTGTTGACCCGCCGTGCCGCCCGTAGGCCCGCGCATCGCGCCGCCCGTAGGCCCGCGCGTTGCGCCGCCCGTAGGCCCGCCCGTCGACCCGCCGTGCCGCCCGTAGGCCTGCGCGTCGCGCCGCTCATAGGCCCGCCCGTCGACCCGCCGTGCCGCCCGTAGGCCTGCGCGCCGCGCCGCCCGTCTGACGACCCGCCGCGCCGCCTGCCCGTCGACCTGCCGCGCCGCCCGCCAGCCAGCGCACTGTGCCGCCCGCCTGTCCACATGCTGCGCCACCTACCCGCCTGCATGCCTCCGCACGTGCTCACACGTTAGTGACTGTCTCCCCCTCCCGCGGCTGGCAGCCACGATCTCTCAGTTTCGCCCCCTATGGCGAGCAAGAGGCCGACTACGAGCGCCAGCTCCTCGCTCGCGATGTGTGGGAGTCTCGTGACGCCGCTGCCTGCCTCGCCCTGACCGACCTTCTCCCGCCGACAGAGGCAGTCCACTTCGCTGAGGTCGAGTCTGCTGCAGATCTGTATAAGGCTATTGTTACTCGCTACTCCACTCCCTCCTCTGCTTCGCTCAGCCGCCTCCTCGTACCCTTTATCTACCCTGACCTCGCCTCCTTTGAAACTGTCTCTGACCTCGCTACCCACCTGCGCTCCCTTGATGCTCGCTTTCGCGCTGCTTGCACTGAGGACCAGCTTGCCCTTGCCCCATCCCCTATGTGGCTCACTATTCACTGACTAGTCACTCGCCTCCCTCACCGCCTAGCCACAGCCCGCGACGCGCTTATTCTGAATCACCCCACTGAGCTTACCGTCGATCTTCTTGATACTGCTCTCTCGAAGATCGAGAGTAACCTCCTCACTATTGCTTCTGCCTCTTCCGCGCCTCCTCCTCGTCTTTTTTAGGGGTGTGCGGTACCACAGTTTCCCACCTTCTCTGCCTCACTTGCCACTCCCACGTCTTCTACCTCTGAGGAGACGGCGACTGTTTCTGTCTCTGGCGGGCAAAAACGTGGCAAGGCTGGTAAGAGGGGCGGGAAGGGCGGCGGGGGTACTGGAGGTGGTGCGGGTAGTGGCGGTGGCGGTGGAGCAGGTGGTGGGAGTAGTGGTGGGGGTGGCTCGGGACCTGACGGCCCTCCTTTCGACGGTGGAGTTTTCACTGGTGGTGAGGGGTCCCAGCAGCAACAGCAGCCGACTCCTCAGCAGCTTACCATCGCCTGGACAGCAGCAGCGGCAGGGACATCAGCAGCAGCGACAGGGCCAGCAGCAGCGCCCGCCACAGCAGCAGCCTCACCAGTGGGGCCCTCCGCAGCAGTGGGGCCCTCCGCAGCAGTGGGGCCCTCAGCAGCAGTGGAGGTCTGCGGGTCCCCCGAGCACTGGGCGCAGTGGCGCCCCCTCTAGTCAGGGACCTCGCTCGGACGGCCGCGACGTTGGTCCCTGTGAGTACTGGATCCTTACGCGTCCTCGTCGGGACTCGTACTGTGGCCGCCCCGACCACTCTGCTGCACGCTGCTTCAGTCGTCTCGACGACCTCTACCGCTTGCACCACGGCCCCTCCGCTTCCCCGCCGCCACGCTAGGAGACAATTCTTGCTCGTGGTATTGCCGCTTTTGACATGACTATGGATGATGCTAGGTCATTTGCCATGTATGCTGATGTTGACTATAGTGCTCCTGGAACTGTGTACTTGCCTGTACCTAGCTTAGGATCTTTGCTTGTTGCTAGAGTAGGTGCTAGTGTAGGATCTTGTTTAGCTACTAGTACAGGTACTCCCTCGGCGGACGCCTCTCTCTCCTTCACACTGGACTCGGAGCGTCACACTGCTTCTTCCTCGACTGCACGACTCTCTCTCCGCTACCGGCACCTGTCCCTGTAGCACTGGCCGATCCCTCTTCGGGACCGGTCATTGCGACTCACGCCACTACACTCCCGTGCCCAGCTGCTCCTTTCGGTTCCCTGACTGGCCTCCACGTTCCTACGTTCTCTAGGAACCTGGTTGGTGTGGGCACCCTGGCGAGACAGCACGTCGGGGTCTGGGTTGATCCTTCTGATGACACCGCGGTCTGTGTGGACGGTGACACGTACGCCCCCTTGGCCAGTTTTTGCTAGGAGCCAGGCTCCGGTCTGTACACCCTCCGCACCGACCCTCGTCAGGTTCCCCCGTCCCACCAGGTAGCCGGGTCCAGTCAAGTTGCTGTGTCAGGTGTAGTTGCCGCGTCGTGCTCGTGTCGGTCGCTTGCCCACCCCTCCCTCCTCTGACACCACCGCCTTGGTCACCCTTCCCTCCCTCGTCTCCGCACTATGTCCAGTCAGCGTCTTGTCTTAGGCCTCCCCAGAGTCCTCCCGCCACTCCCGCCGCCCCCAGCTCCTCCGTGCGGTCCCTGTGTCCAGGGTCGGCTGCGCGCCACCCCTCACTCCTCCTCCCTTCGTCCGGCCACCGAGCCCTTCCAGACTCTCCACTTAGACGTCTGGGGCCCGCTCCCCGCCTTGGCCCTGCCCGTGAGAGTTTCTTTCTGGTGGTTGTTGACGACTACTCCTGGTACACCACCGTGTTCCCTTTGGCGAAGAAGTCCGACGTGACTTCTACGCTGATCCGGTGGCTCCTCGCCACCGAGGGCACTCGCGGTCGTCGTGTCAGTTGTCTTCACTCCGACCGTGGGGGTGAGTTTCGCTCCGGCATTCTCGCCATATTTTGTGCTGAGCAGGGCATCACCCAGTCCTGGACTCTTCCAGACTCTCCGCAGCAGAATGGGGTTGCTGAGCGCCGCTTAGGCCTGGTCATGGAGATCGCCCACACCTCCATGATCCACGCCCGCACGCCCCATTTTCTGTGGCCCTACGCGGCTCGGTACGCCGCTCACCGGCTGAACCTCTGGCCTCGCGTCTCTTGGCCGGGGGCTTCACCGACCAGTCTTTGGACAAGGTCCCCTGGTGTTGCGTCAAGGTTTAGTGTCTGGGGCTGCTTGGCTCTTGTCCGCGACACCTCTGCGGACAAGATCTCGCCTCGCGCTGTCCCCTGTGTCTTCCTTGGTTTCCCAGAGGGCTCCTCTGACTTGACCTTTTACCACCCTCCCTCCCACTGGTTCTTTGACTCTCGTGACGTCCGCTTCGACGAGTCTGTCCCCTACTACGTCCGGTACCCCTGTCGAGGTCTCCCGGTTCCCCCCCCCTCCCCTCTTCCTGGCTCTAGCTCCTCCTCCTCCCGCCCCTACTCCTCCGGCACCCCCCCTGGTTCCCGCTCCGTCTGGTGTGTCCCACGCTACTCCCCCCCCCTCGGTACCCCCCCAGGTCTCTCCTCCTTCCCCATAGTCGTCCTCACCGCCTCTGCAGCAGCCGTCAGCGCTTCCTTTACCGGCCACTGCGGCCTCTAAGGGTGTTGGTGCTCGAGGTGAGGGCTCTAGCGGTGCTCGCTCTGGGGGTGCTGGCGTCGGAGCTGTTCGTGCACCTACAGGAGCAGCCAGTTCTGGGGGTGTTGGCGTTGGCGCTGAGCGTGCACCTGCCGCAGCTGCCCGTTCCGAGGGTACTGGAGCTGGTGGTGGTGCTGGAGCTGGTGGTGCTTTTGGAGCTGGAGAGTCTGGGGCTGGTGCTGGTGCCACTGGAGGCACCACGAATGGGGGTGCGGGTACATCTCCTACAGGTGCTGGTCGTACTGCCTTGGGAGGTACTTGCTCTGGGGGTGCTCAGCCGGGTAGTGTCGAGGACGGAGCCGGTTCTTCTGTTGTGTCTCCTGACACCACTCCTCCTCCTCACCCCTACTCGACTCGTTTCCAGGCCCTTCTTCGTCTAGAGCGTGAGGAGTAGCAGCGTTCGGAGCGTGAGAGGTCGGAGGTTCAGCAGCGGGTGGAGCGTGAGAGGTTGGAGTTGCAGCGGAAGCAGCAGCAGTAGCAGCAGCAGCAGCAGCCGCAGTAGCCGGAGCAGCCTCCGGCCCCTGTTTCTGGCCTTTGGGCCCTTGGTCTCCCCTCCTCTCCTCCTGTGTTCGGTCCTACGTTTCCTCCTCCGGACTCAGCTCCGGCTGTGTTCCCTCGTTCTCAGTCTCCTCCGTCTCCCTCTCCTCTCGCCCACACTTGGACCTCTCATCCCCCTCGTGCCCGTCCTTCGTCACCTGTCACTGACCTCCGTACCATGTTGTTTCGTCCTAGTCCTCCTCGTCCTCCTCCGTCTGTTCTTCCTCGTCCTCTTGCGTCGTCTCTCTCTGCCTCCCTGTCCACTCTGGTCACTGACTACTATCGCACGTACCGCCCCACTCTCTCTCGTGTTCTCGCCTCTCTTGTTACAGACCCTCGTGCCTCTCCTTCCTCCGTCGCGGTCCTCACTGCCGCTGTCACTGACTTTACTGCCACGCGTCGCCTTGACTACGCCACTCGTGTTGTGGCCGCTCCTCCTGTCCGTCCTCTGTCCGCCGGGGGTGAGTCTGCCTTTGGCTGTGACGTCCTAGAGGACAGACAATTTGAGCTAGAGTTGCTTCGCCTCATCTCTGTGCCATGCTCCTCGCTCCTGAGGGATACCCCAACGCTCCTGACATACCTACTCCTCGCACTTACGCTGAGGCAGTGTCAGGGCCTTGGGCCTCTCAATGGAGAGCTGCCATGGAGGCAGAGATTGCCTCCTACAGGTCCACAGTTGAAGGCATGTGGATCTTCAAGGTGAAGCGGCCGCCGGGATCTCCCCAAGTCTTCAAGGCATGCTACGTGGCTAGAGGGTTCAGTCAGCGTGACGGAGTTGACTTCTTTCAGACCTTCGCGCCCACCCCGAAGATGACCACCCCTCGGGTGTTACTGCACGTAGCAGCGCAGAGAGACTACGAGCTATACTCTCTTGACTTCTCCACTGCCTTCCTCCATGGCAGTCTACACAAGGAGATCTGGCTGTGTCGTCCTCCGGGCTTCACTGGCACCTTCCCGCCTGGGACCCAGTGTAGCCTCAGACGACCGGTCTACGGTCTCCGCCAGGCACCCCGTGCGTGGCACGACACTCTCCGCTCTACTCTGTTCGACCTTGGGTTTTAGCCGTCTTCCGCCGACCCGTCGCTGTTTGTTCGTCGTGGGCGCACACCTCTCTTCGTTCTCGTCTACGTTGACGACCTGGTTTTTGCCACAGCCGACACAATTGTACTGGTGGAGGTGAAGTCCGAACTGCAGAAGAGACACACCTGCACTGACCTTGGGGAACTGCGCCGCTACCTTGGCCTGCAGATCTCCAGGGACAGAGCCGCTCGCACCATCACTCTGACTCAGTCACACATGGTGCAGCAGGTCCTTCAGCAGTTCGGGCTTCAACACCCTTCACCTACACCCACCCCTCTTGCTGTAGACCACAGACTCACTGGGCCTTTTCCTTACGAGCCGTTCGAGCCTAGTGGTCCCTACGCAGTGCTGGTGGGCTGCCTCATGTACCTGATGACGTGTACTCGCCCGGACCTTGCCTTCCCTCTTAGCATCCTTTCTCGCTTTGTTGCGACTAGGAGACACCGTCCTGTTCACTGGACGGCGGCTAAGAGGGTGGCGAAGTACATCGGCGCGACATCAGACATGGGGCTTGTACTTGGAGGGACACAGCCAGTTGTACTCACCGGTCACTACGACTCCTCCTACGCCGACGACGTTGAGACTCGGAGGTCTACGCAGGGTTACTGTTTCAGCCTGGGCTCTGGAGCTGTTTCGTGGAGGTCCACCCGGTCCTCTTCTGTTGCGACTTCTACCGCAGAGGCCGAGATCTACGCTGGAGCCCTTGCTGCACCGGAGCTACGCTGGTTGACCTTCTTGCTCACTGACCTTGGTGAGCGGCCGAGCTCTGCACCGACCTTGTTTGCTGACATCTTCACCAAGGCCCTCCAGCCTTGTGACCACCGCCGGTTTTGTCTGCAGTTAGGCCTCGTTGAGACTGGGTCTAGTAGACTGCAGTAGTGAGTTCTTACCTCTTGTTTGTGTGTACCATATATATTAGCTTGTACACTGTTGAACTGGCCTTGTGGCCCTTTGTTTGTGCTCAGACTGTGTGGTGACGTTGTGATCCACCTTGAGCTTTGTTTTCTCTCTTGCTTGTGACTGGTCTTGTGACCTTAGGTTGCGTTTCTTGTTGCTTGGCATTCCCCACTTAGGCTATGGGGGTGTGTCAAATGTTATATCCTCTAGTGGGTCATGCTATATGGGGTACAAAAAGTTAGGGTTCGGCATTTGTACCCCAACCCAATCAATCCAACTCATTTCGCTGTAACAGTTAGGGTTAGGCATTTAGTTTCTGAGATCACCCTTGCCAAATCAGCTGAAAGAAATTTGTAAAGTAGCGGATCAATGCGCCCATAAACCCCCAAGGCGAACGCGCCTGTAACCCTCCCTAGGATCAATCGGGCATCCACAGTGCAGATCTACTGACACCCCCCCATACTGGGAGGCCCAAGACTGAGCACAGCGGCAACGACCTACATGTGCATACACAGGGATTCGAACCCGAGACCGCTCTGAAACCACGTCAGAATCCCAACACTAGACCATTGGGATAAAATGACTTGTTGAGAAGCGGGTCAATGCGCCCATACCCCCCAGGCGAACGCGCATGTAACCAACGCTAGGTTCAATCGGGCATCCACAGTGGAGATCTACTGACATCCCCTAGCGTTTTCACTCGATAGATTAAGGGCCCACCATATTCGCTGGCGCACTCATCGTACTAACGCGCGCCCCATTGTAATGCGCGCCTTGTAGACCATTGCCCGTCGCCCGGAGCACACCCGTCGTCAATACCCGCCCCATCGCCCATAGATTTCTCGTCACTCATCGATTTTTCCCCTCCCGTCGCCCGTTGCCCGTCTCCCGTTGACCGTGGGAACAGGCCCCGCAGCCCCTTTTTCGCTAGCGGGCCCCGCGGCCCTTTCGATAGTGGGCCCCGTGGTCGCGTCGTCAGTCGTACGCACACACAGTAGTAGCCGCGCGCACGTGCAGCTCGCCGCCTTAACCGCTGCCTCACCATTGAACCGCTGCCTTACCTGCCGCCCCATCTCTTAGCCCTGCCCCACCTGTCAGTAGCCCCCCCACGAGCTGAAACCCGCCGCCCCACCTGGCACCCGCTGCCCCACGAGCTGCCTCACCCGCCGCCCCACCTGTTAGCCTCAGCCTCATCAACTAGCCACACATGGAAACCATAGTCTACCACCCGTACCCGCTGAACCGCACAGAACCGCACAAAACCGCACAGAACCACACAGAATGGCACAAAACGGCACAGAATGACACAGAACGGCACGAAACCACACAAAATCGCACTCCACCCATGCTAGCTCCCCTAGAACTGCACAGGACCACATTCCACCCGTACTAACCCTCCTGGAATCGCACAGAACCGCACTCCACCACCCTAGACCGTTCTTTACTGCTCCCAACCACAGTGAACTGCCCTCCATCGCTCCCAGCCGCATCCGACCACACTGAACCCCTCCCACAAGCACCAAAACCGCACTCAGCAGCATTCCACCGCACCAAGCCAATCCTAGCCCCACTGGATCGTCCAACACAGTTCCCAACCGCTCTCAACCCCACCCAATTGTTCACCACCGCACTAGACTGCCATCAGTTGCACCATCAGCAGTATAGGCTGCCCCCCAGCGCACCAGCAGCAGCTTAGGCTGCCACCAGTAGCACCAGGAGCAACTTAGGCTACCGCCAGCGTACCCCCCCCCCCGTACTAGCTTGCCATGTAGCTGTGGCAACAGCCGCAGCAACAACAGTGGTCTCAGCAGCAGCAGTGGCAGCGGCAGAAGCACAGGTGGCCGTAGCTGCAGCAGTGGCGGGTTCAGCTGCAGCGCCAGCAGCGACCTCCACAGCGGGGCCCTGACGGACCCAGCCAGTACACATACCGGTACGTGGGAGCTGCAACTGCTATTGAGACTTGTGTTACCAGTCTTGGTGCGTGTGTAGTTTTCGGTCCAGGCGCCTCAGAGGTTCTTAGTGCGGGAGCTACAGCCACCACTATAATAGTACCAGCCTTTGTCGCTGGCTCGGTTGCGACCTCACCGACTGCACGGCTTTCCTTCACCCTAAACTCTCGAGCGTCCAGGTGTTTCTTTCGTGACTGCACCGACCTCACGCCACTGCACACTCCAGTCACTGTCACCTTGGCTGACCCCTCCGTAGGATCCGTAGTTGCAGAGAGCACCGGCACTCTCCCATGTCGATCGGCTCCCTTTGGGTTTCTCACAGGTTGCTACACCCCCTCGTTCTCTAGAAACCTAATGGGTGTCAGTCACCTTTACGACCTCGAAGTTGTCACTACTTTCCCACTGTACGAGCCTGTTGCCTCTTGCACAGTCGGTGCGACTGAGGCGCCTCTAGCCACTTTCCACAGGGAGCCTGGCTTTGATTTGTATTCACTACATACTGGGTCCCACCACACTCGGTCAGGTCAGGTCAGGTAGCTGATGTGTCGTGCGACTGTCGGTCACTCACCCACCCGTCGGTCCTCTGGCACCACCGTCTTGGTCACCTGTCGTTCCCACGTCTCAGTTGGATGGTACGTCACCGTCTGGTCTTAGGTCTCCCAGAGTCGCTTGCCCCGCTTCCTCGCTCGCCAGCGCTGCCGTGCACTCCCTACGTCGAGGGTCGGCAGCGCGCCGCCCCTCACTCCTCCTCGTTCCCTCCCACCACGGCTCCCTTACCAACCATGCACTTGGACGTCTGGGCCCCCTCCCCGGTCCTTGGCCCACGTCAGGAGCGCTACTTCCTTATTGTAGTGGATGACTACTCCCGCTACACCACGGTTTTCCCTTTGCGACGGAAGGCCAATGTGCCAACCGTCCTTGAACCGTGGCTACTAGCAAGGGGTGGCGTCCAAGGCCTATGTGGGCTCCGCCTACACTCGTACCGTGGTGGAGAATTTTCTTCCACTCGCCTGGAGACGTTCTGTCAGGGTTGGGGGATCATCCAGTCTTACACGCTACCAGTCTCGCCGCAGCAGAACGGGGTAGCCGAGCAATGCATCGGCCTGGTCATGGAGGTTGCCCGGACCTCCATGTGCCATGCCGATGCCCCCCAGTTCTTGTGGCCTCAGGCAGCCCGCTACGCCGCGCACCAGCTGAACCTGTGGCCTGGTGACGCACGGCCACGGGTGATGCCGATCTTCCTTTGGACAGGTTTTCCGAGCGTAGCAGCTGACTACCGCGTCTGGGTTGTCTGGCTCACGTTCGCGCCCCTAGCATGAACAAGTTGTCTGCGCGCACCCATGTCTGCATCTTTCTTGGCTTCCCCGTCGATGCCTCAGGCTGGGTGTTCTATGACCCAGTCACCCAACAGTTCTTTGCCTCTCACGACGTCACTTTCGACGAGTAGGTCAGTTACTATAGGAGTCGCCCCTACCGAGGTTCTGAGGCCTTTTCCCCCCCGCTGTTCCTCGCCCTTGAGCCCCCCCCTAGTCGCCCCGGTAGCCCCACCCCCTTCGCATCCTGCCCCGTCAGGTGTGTCGCACGTCACTCCGCAGTCTTCCCCCCCACAACGTCTAGTCCCTGTCGTGTCTGGGGGTGCTGGAGGTGCAGTTGCGGAGGGTGAGGGTACTGGGGCTGCTGGAGCCCGTTGTGCAAGCTCTGGGGGTGCAGGGGGTGTGAGAGCGGAGACCACTCCTAAGGAGGACATGGCTATCTCGACTCAGCGGCCTCGCCCCGCCTCACCCCCTGGCTTTCCGTTTGTTCCGCAATCCCCTCATCGTTTGCCTCCGCGGCCGGTCGCTGCAGAGCCTGGGGGTGTTCCTACAGGAGGCACTGGAGTCCCTGGGGGTGTTGTTGGTGGAGGTTCTGGTTCTGGGGGTGCTGGAGCCGGAGACACGAGCACTGCGACGCCTACGCCGCGCACTATACGTTTCCTGACCCGAGTGCAGTGTTTAGACAGGTTGGAGAGGGAGGAGCGGGAGCGGTTTGAGAGGGCACAGCAGCAGCACCAGCAACAGGCTCAATCGGAGCGTCAGGAGGGAGTAGAGGAGGAGTCACGGCAGCAGCAGCAGCATTCTCAGTCGGAGCATCAGGAGAGAGTAGAGGAGGAGTCACGGCAGCAGCAGCAACAGTTTCAGTCGAAGCGTCAGGAGAGAGTAGAGGAGGATTCACGGCAGCAGCAGCAGCAGCAGCACCAGTCTTAGTCGGAGCGTCAGGAGAAAGTAGAGGAGGTGTCACGCAAGCAACAGCAGCAGCAGCAGCAACACCACCAGCAGCACCAATAGCAGCAGCAACAGTAGGAGCAGCAGCAGTCTTAGATGGAGCGTCAAGAGAGAGTAGAGGAGGAGTCACATCCACAGCAAGAGAGAGTAGAGGAGGAGTCACGACTGCCACAGCAGGTGCAGTTGCACCCACAGGAGGAGAGGGTAGAGCAGGATTCCCGGCCGCATCAGCAAGTGTTGTTGCAGCCACAGCAGGACATAGTAGAGGAGGAGCCACGGGAGCAGCAGGGGGGGCAGGTGCCGCAGCAGCAGTCGCCAGAGGAAGCGGAGCAGCAGCGACTTAGAGACCTGCTCGACTCAGCACCAACACGCTTTGTTTGTGGTCCCCTATCCTCCCCTCCTGTTCCCCCTGTCGAGTCCCTTTCCTCGTCCCAGTGGACTCGTCGTTCTCCCCTCAGTCGTGTTGTGTCCCCAGAGCCTCGCCGGTCCCGTTACCGTGCCGACGGCCCGTTTCACCTAGTTCTTCACTCTCGTGTTCCACCTCCTCCTGTACTTCCACAGCCTCCTGAGTCATCCCTCACTGTGTTTCACGACTCGTTGTCCGACTACCTCCGTGCCTCTCGTCATGTTGTCTCCCGTGTATTGTCCGCGCTGGTCACGGACCCGATTGCACCTCTGTCGTCTGTCTCGGAACTTGTTACCACTGTCGTTGGCTTTGCCTCTTCCCACTGCCTTGACTACACCGCTCACTTGGTGAGTGGATCTGCTCGTTCTCCGTTCTCTGGGGGTGCTCCTGTTTTTCCCCTGGAGGTCCTCGAGGACAGGCGGTTTGAGCTTGGCTTCCTTGCGGCCGCTGTTCCTCATCTCTGTGCCATGCTGCTTGCCCCTGAGGGGGATCCAGACGCCCTTGACATCCGATCCCTGACAATCATGCTAAGGCGGTCTTGTGACCCTAGGCTTTGTACTGGATAGCAGCTAAGGAGGCAAAGATGGCATCTTATAGGTCCACATGCACCTATGTTGATGCCGTCCCACCACCTGGGGCGAACGTTGTCAGTAGCATGTGGCTCTACAAGGTGAAACGGCCGCCTGGAGCACCACCCGTGTTCAAGGCGTGCTACGTGGCGAGAGGCTTCAGTCAGCAAGAGGGGGTAGACTTTTTTCAGACCTTCGCTCCCACCCCAAAGATGACCACTCTTCTGGTGTTGCAGCATGTTGCAGCACAGCGCGCCTACGAGTTGCACTCCTTGGACTTCTCCACTGCGTTCCTTCAGGGGAGCCTGCACGAGCAGATCTGGCTGTGTTGTCCTCCTGGCTTCACTGGCTCTTTCCCTCCTGGGACCCACTGGCAGCTTCGTCGACCGGTCTACGGCCTGCGCCAGGCTCCCCGCGAGTGTCACAACATGCTACGTATGACTCTTGCAGCGCTTGACTTCTTTCCGTCCTCCGCCGACCCGTCGCTGTTCGTCCGCCGTGGCTCAACCCCGTTCTTTGTTCTGGTCTACGTTGATGACCTGGTCTTCGTCACTCCCGATCGACGCGCACTAGCCTCCGTGAAGGAGGAGCTGTAGAGGAGACACACTTGCACTGACCTTGGAAAGCTGCAGCGCTACCGTGGCCTGCTCGCACCATTACGCTGACGCAGCCGCATATGGTCGAGCAAATCCTCACGCGGTTTCGCTTCTCGTTCTCCAAGGTACAGCCCACCTCTCTTGCTGTGGATCATGGGCTCATGGCTCCACCTTCGGACGAGCCATTTTCGTCCAACGGTCCATATCTTGAGCTGGTGGGGTTGTCTCATGTACTTGATGACTTGTACTCGCCCAGACCTAGCTTACCCTCTTAGCGTCCTTGCGCGCTTTGTTGCGCCTGGGAGACACCGACCTTCCCACTAGTACGCTGCTAAGAGGGTGGCGAAGTATGTGGCAAGTACATCAGGCATGGGACTTGTCCTTGGAGGGAAGCAGCCAGTTACACTTACAGGTTACTCGGACTCGTCGTGGGCAGACGACGCAGAGTCGCTGCAGTCTACACAGGGTTACTGCTTCAGTCTTGGGACCGGAGCTGTTTCGTGGAGCTCAACTTGGGCGTCGCCCGTCTCTAGTTCTAGTTGTGAGGCAGAGGTGTACGCTACAGCCATGGCCGCCCAGGAGCTTCGCTGGCTGTCTTTCCTCCTCACCGACCTTGGCGAGCGGCCTCGCTCTCCCCCAGTCTTGTTCAGCGACAACAGGTCTGCTGTCCTGTTGTGCAAGGAGCCCCGACTGGTTGGGAAGGCGAAGCACATCCAGCTTTGTTACTTCCTTCCCCGCGAGTTTCAGCAGCATGGCCAAGCCCGCGTGGTACGTGTGGTTTTTGAGGCCAACACTACATATATCTTCACCAAGGCGTTGCCGCCTTGTGCTCACCAGCGCTTCTGCATCCAGCTAGGCCTTGTGTCTACAGGCCCTCACTTGCTTGCGCAGAGATGCTTTGTCTTGTACCCTTGTATCTCTTCCTATATATACATCTATATTGATGCATACGGATTGGCCTTATGGCCCCTTGTTTGCCCTCAGACTATATGGTGACGTTGTGATCCACCCTGAGTTGCATCCCTTGCTTGATTCTTGTTGTTGCAGACCAGTCTTGTGACCTTTCCTTGCTCTTGCTGACTAGTCCTATGACCCTTGCTCTCAGATTGTATGGTGACTTCGTGATCCACCCTGAGATATGTGTTGCTTTCCGCAGGACTACCATCACCTAGACTATGGGGGTGTGTCAAACTATAATGATATAGTTTGTATTGTTCTAGTCTAGGTGCATTTACTTTGTCCTAGGTTTAGGGTTGGGGCTGACTTATATCTTGCTTGTTCGTTCATTTGCTATTCATTCTCATATCTCAACACCCCACTCAGTCGCAGTGAATGTGAGATCTGAGTGAGCTGGGACCGCCAAAACCCATGCACCAGCCCCTGGGCCTTGAAGGGATGTGAAACGGGCCAGGGTGGCATCGTCACGAGCCGAGCGGCGCAGTGCATGGAGCTCCTCAACAGCCAACTGCCGCTGCCGCGCCTGGAAAAGCTGAAGAGGAGGGGCCGCTACACACAGAGGTAAGCCCGGCATCTCCTAGCGTATAGTCGCAGGCAACTGCTCAATCGCCTTGGCAAACCACGGGTCAAGAAACTCCGCCCCTGCCTAAGTGGTGAGGTATTCTGCAAATATCGCCTCCTCGGCCGCCACCCCCAACTGTGCAATATCCCGCGCGGCCTGCGCCCACCCGCACACATTGGACAGCGGACTCAAAGAGGCCGTCGCCCGGATCCCAAACCCTCCGAGTCGCACAGGGAGATGCAGCTGCATGCGTGCGCGCCTAGAGCGGTCGGGGGCCTGCTCCCAAATGCTAGGTGGGAAAAGCTGCTCAAAGCAATCCTCCAAACAGCTATCCCAATTCCTAAAGGCCTCCACCACCTCCGGACGCGGCAGCATAGTCCGGGCCAGGTACATCGGCTGTGCTGAAACTGCAATGGCGAGGAGATGTGAAGCCATCTGGGGGTGGTCGAACAGGGGGAGCCATAGCAATGGTGCCTGCAACTGTCGAAGCTGCTCCCGTAACCGGGCCACCTCCCAATCCTCCTCCCCAATAGGCACACCCACCACAGTGAGACCCTCCTCCACCTGCTGCATCCCCAATGGCAGTGCCCGCACCACATCCCCACCTTCGCGCTCCCAAAACCGGCCCTTGTGCGCCTGCACCTCCAGCCCCACCCACTCCAACTGTTCCCGCAGTGCCCCAAAAGCCTTTAGAATTTCAGCCGCTGGTCCCAAGATATAGGTATCATCTGCATAACTCAGGAAAAGTAGGTCCCTGAGCTCTCTAGTCACCGACTCCATCACCTGCTGCTCCGTGAACGCGAAACGAAAAGGGTCGAGCGTGTCCCCCTTCCGCGATCCTCGTGCCGACTCAAGGCTCTGTATGAAAGGGCCCGCTCAGAGGTACAAGTCGCTAGGTGTCCCGTAGAAAACACGCAAGAATGGGATCAACCCTAAGAAAGGCGACTCTCGCAGCCCCTTAAACATCTCATGACGGTGAAACGAATTGAAGGCGTTCGCGATGTCTATCTGCAGTGCACACCAGCCGGGGTGAGTGGCCAGCGCTGACCGAAAAGAATGAGTAAGAATCTCCACCCCGGTCCTGGTGCCTGCTCCCAGATGGTTGCACGGCAGAAAGTAGGAAGCCATCGCAGGGCGGAGCGAGATGCAGAGAGCTCGAGCGAACCTCCCCAGTCGCCACCGGCCGGACGTCGCCGTTAGGCTTGGAAAGCCCAACTAGGTTGGATGCGGTGAGCCAGGGCCGAGCCCGCTCGGGGACCTGTCTCGCCACCCATTGGTTGAACACTTCCAACAAGTGGGAAAGGCAAAAAGGTTCAGTGAGAAAGGTGTCGCGCAGATGCTCTGTGACCCACCCCGATGGCCTTGCTGCTGAAGCGCGAGCATCAACATAGATAGCTTTGGCCAGGATGTCGATCGTGAGTGGAGGCCGCTGAGGAGCATCGACGGTGAAATCACGGACCCACTGTGGTACCTCGCCAGTGCTAGCAGGGTGCTTCTCTCGTAGCGATTGCACCAGGGGTCGAGCCAAGTGCCTGCGCGTGCCTCTCCACCTCAGACGCCCGGCATACCCTTATGTGGTTTGCAGCAGCCCCTCTCGTAGCGAACGTGTGAAAACACGTGTCACATGGAAAACAGGGGCATGGGGAAGGCGGCCTGGGAGGTTCTCCGTCCGCCTCTGACTCCTCCGCAGTCGCCATGGGGGTATCTAACTCCAAAAGTCGGCTCCACTCCTCCCACTGCTGCTCCTGGTTGTCCATCAACTGCCCCCCTGGCTGCTGCGCTCCCTGGGGTGTTCCGGTCACCCCCGGCTGCCCCTCTGCCTGCTACTCTCGCCGGGGTGCTCCGGGCACCCTCGGCTGCCCCCCTGGCTGGTGCGCTCCCTAGGGTGCTCCGGTCACCCCCGGCTGCCCCCCTGGCTGGTGCGCTCCCTGGGGTGCTCCATTCGCCCCCGGCTGCCCCCCTGGCTGCTGCTCCCTCTGGAGTGCTCCGGTCGCCCCGGGCTGCCCCCCTAGTTGCTGCGCTCCCTGGGGTGCTCCGGTCACCCCCGGCTGCCCCCCTAGCTGCTGCTCTCTCTAAGCTGCTCCCTGCACCCTCGGCTGCCCCCCTACCTGCTGCTCTCCCCAAAGTGCTCCCAGCACCGTCGGCTGCCCTCCTACCTGCTGCTCTCCCCGGGGTGGTCCGGGCACCCTCGGCTGCCCCCCTGCCTGCTGCTCTTCCTCAGGTGCTCCGGGCACCCTCGACTACCCCCCTGCCTGCTGAGCTCCCAGGAGTGTCTCACTCGCCCTCGGCTGCCCCTCCGCCTGCTGTGCGACATCCCCGCTTCCAGTCCACCCTTGCGATTTACGGGAATGGCGCCTCCAGCCTCGGCCCCGTGCCCGGGTTCTCTTCACTTGGCTTGCAACATCCAGATTAGCGACCTTCTGCTGCCCCTGCGCTGGCAGCTCCCGCCGCTCCCCCCCCCGGCAGCTCCTGCCGCTCTCTCACCGACAGCGCTTGCTGCCCTCCTGCCGGCAGCTCCAGCTGCCCTCCTGTTGGCTGCTCCAGCTGCCCTCCTGTTGGCAGCTCCTGCTACTCTTCTCGTGGCAGCTCCTGCTGCCCTCTTGCGTGAAGCCGCGCCTGGTACCCGGATCGGTCCCGCCGCACCTCTGGCTGTAGCTCGGCCATTTCCACGTCTACCGCTTGCTGCTCCCTCTCCGGCAGCTACCCTTCCCCCGGCAGCTCCGGCTGCCCCTCCCTTGGCAGCTCCTACTGCTCTCCTCCTGTTGGCTCCTACTGCCCTCCAGCCTGCAGCTGGGCCTGGTTCCCCGATTGGTCCCACTGCACCTCTGGCTGTAGCTCGGCCATTTCCACGTCTACCGCTTGCTGATCCCTCGCCGGCAGCTCTAGCTGCCCTCCTGCCGGCAACTCCTGCTGCCCTCCTGCCGGCACTTCTTGCTGCCCTCCTGCCGGCAACTCCTGCTGCCCCCCTGCCGGCAACTCCTGCTGCCCTCCTGCCGGCAACTCCTGCTGCCCTCCTGCCAGCAACTCCTGCTGCCCCCCTGCCGGCAGCTCCTGCTGCCCTCGTGCCTGCAGCTCCCGCTGCCCTCCCACCACCAGCTCTTGCCCCTCTCCCGCCGGCCGCTCCTGTTGCTCTCCTGCCGGCAGTACCTGCTGCTCTCCTGCCGGCAGTACCCGCTGCCCTCCTGCCTGCAGCCCTTGCTACCATTTCGCCGGCAGCTCCTGCTCCCCTCCCACCGGCAGCTCCTGCTGCCCTCCCGCCGACAACACCTGCTGCCCCAATGCTTGTGACTTCCAGGCCTCCCCCGACGGCCGGTTCTGCTGCCCCCCCTCCCGCCACAAGGATTGGGTCCCCGATGGACTCCCCTGCTGCACGTCCGCCCGAGCTCTCCGCCTTCGTTCCTGCCTTTGGGCTAGGCAAGGCCTGCGCCGAGCTGTGAGGGCTGGGAGTGCCGAGGGATTTCCGAGGGCATGCCGCCGCCTATCGTGAGACTCTTGCAGTCGCCGGCGGTGTGCCTCCCATGCAGCCATCGCCGCATCATCACCGGTACCTTGCCTGTGCACCCCATGACCACACTCGCCTTCGTCTGTCGCGTCCAGGTCCCGGCTAGAGATGGTGTCGCTGCCGCCTACGAAGCTGCCGAGAGTGTCTTTGGGTGGTTCCTCCATTCCCCCCTCTGTTGAGAGGGGTCCATACCTTTGTCGCTTACTGGGCTTGCCAAAAAGGCAGAGTGCATCCTCATAGTGGAGGCGGCAGATTTGTGGGTATTGCACGCTCAGCGCTAACTCTTTGGGTCTCTTGTAGCCAAACGCACACCGGATCTTCCTCCCCTGGTCTGGGGGATCATGGTCGTCGTTCATGGCATAAGCCGTTTGCGGGGAGCACTAGAGGAGCACCTCCCGCCTTCGAAAAAAGGCCCGCAGTCCGGGTGAGCGTCGCTAGTGCACGGGGACTCCTCTACACGCATGGACGCTCTTACCCACGGGTGTTGCTACCTAGGCACGGATCTCGCCGTGTGGACCCTCCTACGCGCAAATGTCGTTGCTTGGGCGCAGATCTCATTGCTTCGGAGTGGATTTCGCTGCTATGGCGCGGATTTCGTTGCTACGGCGTGGATTTTGCTGCTACGGCGCAGATTTCGCTGCCTGAGCGTGGCTTGTGCTGCTACCGAGTGGATGTGGCTGCTACAGCGTGGTTTTTTATGCCTACTCGCGGATTTCGCTGGTACGACACAGATTTCGCTGCCACGGCGCGGATTTTGCTGCCACGGCTCAGATGTCGCTGCTACGGCGCAGATTTTGCTGCTACGGCACGGATGTCTCTGCTACGGCGCGGATTTCGCTGCTACAGCGCAGATTTTGCCGCCTAGGCGCGGATTTCGCTGCTACGGCGCAGATTTTGCCGCCTAGGCGCGGATTTCACTGCTACGTGTCAAGAAACTGAACGAGAATGATTGCATTGAGAAGAAATTGAGTACAAGTACTAACCCTAATTGGGTTGCACCCCTTATGGGCTACCCCACTACAGCCTACACAATATAAACATTATAACAGTTTGACACACCTTTATAGGCAAAGTGGGGGAGAACAAATGGTCACAAGACCAATCAAGAAAACCAAAGCAAGCTCAAGGTGGATCACAAAGTCACCAAACATTTTCAGTACAAGCAAATGGCCACAAGGCTAGTCCACTAGCGGAGTTATATAAACGAGAACAAACTATACAGTGATCATAACCTATCAAGTGTAAGCATGCAGGTATATATACATATATACATATATCACAGTACAAGCAAAGGAACGCAGTGAGCAAGTGAGACAAAGTAGGCACAAGGCCTAAAGCAGTACAGAACCGCTGATGATCACCAGGCGGAAGTGCCTTGGTGAATATATCAGCAGTGTTGGCCCGAGTGGCCACGTAAGCAAGACGAAGCTGACCACGCTGCTGCAACTCTCGAGCAAGGAAGTAACGCAGAGCGATGTGCTTCATTCTGTGCTCCAGTCTGTGCTCCTAACACAAGGCAATAATGGCCTTGTTGTCTATGTACAGAAATGGAGGAGAACGAGGCCGCTCTCCCAGGTTGGTCAGCAGGTAGGTGAGCAAGTGTAACTCATGTGCAGCCATGGCCCCTACGCAGATCTCAGCCTCACAGCTGGAACTGAGAACAAAAGATAATTGGGTAGACCACCAAGAAACAGAGCCGGAGCCAAGGCTGAAAGTGTAACCCTGTGACGACCGCTGCGTAGCCAGGTCGTCAACCCAAGACGCATCTGTGTGTCCACTGAGAGTAGCCATAGCAGGCAAAGCAGGGAGGCGCGCGACCAGCAGGGCAACACTCAGGCAAGGCAGGGCGGCGCGCAGGTAGCAGAACGGTGCGACAAACAGGGCGGCGCGCGGGCACGAACGAAGCGTGCAGGGCAGGGCGGGCAGCGAGCAGTAGGGCGGCGCGCCAGGTAGGGCAAGGCGGCGCACGGCTAGCATGGCGGCGCGGCGGCCAGCAGGGCGGCGCGCGGGCAGGGCAGGGCGGCGCTACAGGTAGCATGGTAGTGCGCGAGCAGGGCAGGGCGGCGCGCGGCCAGCAGGGAGGCTCGACGTGCACGACAGGGCAGCGCGCGGCGGGCAGGGCAGGGCAGCGCGCAGCTGGCAGGGCGGCGTGACGGGTAGGGGAGGGCAGCGTGCGGCCAGCAGGGCGGCGCGACGGGCAGGTCAGGGCAGTGCGCGGCCAGCAGGGCGGCGCGACGGGCAGGGCAGGGCGGCGCACGGCTGGCAGGGCGTTGCGACGGGCAGGGCAGGGCAGCTCGCGGCCAGCAGGGCAGCTCGCGGCCAGCAGGGTGGCGCGACGGGCAGGGCAGGGCGGTGGCGCGGCTGGCAGGGCGGCGCGACGGGCAGGGCAGGCCAGTGCGCGGCCAGCAGGGCGGCGCGACGGGTAGGGTAGGGTAGCGCGGCTAGTGGGGCAGCGCTATGGGCAAGGAACTAATGTCAAATGTTGTAGTCTTAATGATGTGTGTTATAGGGGGTACAACTATTAGGGCTAGGCTTATGTACCCCAACCAACCTTAGTGAAACCAACACTTTCATTCTTGACATGGTATCACCTAGGTTAGGATCCCGTGGGATCCCGTTCCTCTCGAAATGGACCTCGCTAGTGTTTGAACCTGCCTGACGCATCAGACGGGCCCTTCGGGCCCGTCTGACCCATCAGAATTTTTTTTGTAATCTGTGTCTGTTACATCAGAAATTTTCAAATTCTCCGTCTGTTCAATCAGACGTGCCAGAAAAAACAGCCTAATGTCTATATTATGCTATATTTAGCAGCTGCATCGTTACATGTTTTAAAAACAGCACGAAGTTCCATTCATCCTAAACTACTCTGTGTCAGAGTCAATATCAAGCGCCAGAGTTCCACAAACATCTACTCCATGGTCGTCATCACTGTCACTGTCCACTACTTTAGCCTTTCCTTTCTTTCTCCGCCTCTCCTCCTCATCCACAGGCTCGCCTTCTGCCACTGCCTTGGGTGCTTCTGCAACAGACTCTGCCACTGCCTTGCGCTTGCAGCTCTTGGGCAGACCACTCACTTCCTTTGCTGGGCGACGTTTCTTCGCACCGCGCCACAGATTCACGACGTCATCCCAGTCGGGCTCATAATCAAGCAAGGAAATGCACATGAGATCCCCGAGTCTAGCGTCGCAAAGGTGGGTGCGAATCCATGACTTGACAATGTTCTAGCGGCTGAAACCGCGCTCACACTCGACAGTGCTGAGCGGGAGAACAGCAACAGCCACCCACAGGTGCACGAGGTTCAGGTATGAGGACTCCCAGTCCTCACTCCGCAGCATGTTCTTCAAGCCGACATGGAAGGTCACGTCCTTATACTGCACATGCATCACACGGATAAAGCGCAGCAGCTCCCTCTCTGCCTTCTTCCAGTTGACCCCTGGCATGCACAATACAACTCGTTAGATTAAAAGTCCACACAAACATTGCTCTCCTTATATAAACAGCGACAATTGCAATATCCAAAACGACAAGTGGTTACCTGGCATATCGCATGTGTCTGCGCTGAAGAGCTTGCGCAAGCCGGCGAACCAGGCTGCACAGACGCGCTCTTGCTTGGCCACGCCATTTGGGTACGTATCGGGCAGGAATAGCTTGGCCCCATCAAGGGTCGCGAGGCTGCGAAACCTGAAAAGCAGTCGGCCAATGACATCCTACGTAAACAGCTTCGCAGGCTCACGCAAGATTCAAGGTCACCTCCAGACTCTTGACCGTCCAGATGCTCCTCGTGAAGCTTGAATTTGTGTGACACGGCGTTGCTATCCCCGTCCATCCCCTCCACTTTAACGACGTGCTTAGAAGGGTGTGTGTGCTCCTCTAGAAAGGTGCTGAGGTGCTCGCTGTCCTCGGTGAAGTTGACTCCGTGCTCGATGTAGCGCGCCTTCAGCTTCCCGACGGTGTTTTGAACCATCCCCATCACTCTCGTGATGTCGACCTGCATGTAAAGTCAAAGAATGTCTCGGTTAGATAATGGTGCATTAACACGTAAGACAGAAACACATTTTGTGACCCACCGCTTGCTTCTGGAACCTCCTATTGAGCTCGTTGAGCTCCTTTAGGACATCAGCAAGGAAGAACAAGAAAAAATGAAACTTGAAGGTCGTCACGACTTGCTGCATCTTCTGATCAAACTCGTGCAGCAAGACGATGGCGGCCGGCAAGACAGCAATGAGACGGGAGATGGCGTCACCGCGCGACAACCACCGGACGTCTTTGATCCCCTGGGTCTCGAGGGATATCGAGTGAAGGACGTTCTGCAGCTCGAGGAACCGCCAATGATGGTGTGGATGGAGCGCACTGCAGAGTCGACGATGTCGAAGTCGGTGTAGTTCTCTGCGCCATCCTTGGCGGTCAATGCCTCCCTGCACATAACAAAGAAAGTTAAAAGTCATGTCATGTTTAGACAAGACAACAACTGGCAGCATAGGTATAACATGGTAATTCTACATGTGAGTGATGCAGTGACATGCGACCAGGTGCGGCACCCGCATCCGCAGCTGCACCACGAGCCCATTCTGGGAGCCGGGCATCACATTAGCACCGTCGATACTGATGCCAGAGATCTTCCGGAGGTCCAGCCCCGTGCTATCCAGGTGAGCGAGTAGAACGGTAAGAAGAGAGCCGGCGTCGCATTTTTCCACTGTCAGGTGCCCGAACAACTCGGTCGCCACCTTGGCTTCTTTCATGAAGGATATGTAAACGATCATATGCTTCCCCCTCCTGCGGTCGGTCGATTCGTCGAGCTGTATCCCCAGGAAGGGCAACTCAATGAGATACTGCATCTGCCGCGCCTTCAAATGCTTGACGGTCACCTCCGTCATCTCTCGAAATCCATATCTGCGAGTAAGAAAACGTTAAATTAGATTAGGAAACATTTAGAAG